ATCTTTAATAAGGATACTATTAGTCTAACTCTAAGGAGTAAAGAGTCTAGGCTTTAGAGTATTAGAGGTAAACTTAAAGAGAGTGCTTTATCTTAAGGCGTATAGTAGCTAGCTCTAAGATAATTAAGAGTTTAGTTAGCTTTATAACCCTTATAACTTATGCTCCTAGCTAGCTATTAAATACATAATGTAAGGATTAAGATTAGAGTTAGATTATATACTAAATAAGATAGAAAGAAAACTAAGAGCTAAGCTCTAGTATTAAGTAAGAAGGAAGTAGTAAGAAGATAGAAGATAGGATAGCTAAGTTAAGACGCGTTAAGAAGAACGTATAGGTCTTTACGTAAGGCTTTACGTAATCTGCTAATCGGTAGCAAAGATCTTATCTTAGAGATAAGATCTAACTAATTAAATAATTAACTAAAAAGAAAAAAATAGTTCTATAGGGAGTTAAACTCTAGTCTCTCTACCTATAGTTAGGCATGTTATAAGCTATTATAATACGCCTAACTATAACTCTACTAGAACGTACTACTATTGCACTATAGAACCGATTAGTAATTAAGAGGCTTAGTACTATTATGTAAGCAACCTTACTATAAGGTAACCTCCTTAGTAAGAGGGATGACTATATAACTTAACCTTCTTATTAAGGAGTAGAATGTTAGAATATTCTACTTAAATTGACGATTCTATTCTATGCTAAAGCAGTGGAATATTTTACTTAAAATCGGTAGAATATGCTAACATTCTACTTATTCCATGCTATTTATCGTCTACTCTAGTTAAAAATCGTGGTAGTTATGCTGTCTCTATGACCCTGTTCTCAAATGAAGAGCGACAACATCGACCCCCGGAGGTCTAAAGATGATCTGATGTGCATGTGTATGATCTTATGTTACCTTACACTAGAGACCTGTATCTTATTCTGGCACTTCGGCTTGGGATTCAATCAATCTTGGCCGTCATGACATTTCTCTGTTGGTGTGCGCTGAATCACGCGGAACAATCTTGTCTCTCAATGGCATTCTTAAAACACCATCACCAACATAGTGGCATGACAAATGTGCGATACGTAGCGAACAACACTGTCATACGACTCCTCTAGCATCATGCTCAATTGATCATTACACACGAATACAGGTGATTCAGGTGCATTGAGCACTCCAATAGGTAAATAGGTATTCTGTTCTACCTCGGCAAAGTCTGGGGTGCAAGCTTACTTCACGTTGACGCGAGCACCCTTCTACTTACAAAGCACCAAGATCGAAAGAAGGTTGGGCCTCCAAGCACAGAATGATGTGTATCGATTCATGCGTGTCGATCGTCTGACGAGAGTACGAGTAACCTCGAGCTGGATGCATCGCGCGGATACTCCTGACGCGCCTCGATCGTCTCCTATGCCGAAGAACCGCGCGCCGAAGCAGCACCTGCTACGCGATAACTCGATGCATGCCAGAGTGGACCACGAGAGACCAAAAGAGCTGGGAAAATATAGACATCAAGACTGATACGTTACACGGCTACTTGCCCTCCGTCAAACCTTAGTATCCTTTCCTTCGGCAATGTATTGGTGAGTGGAGACGTTATCGGCATCTTCTCCATCCAGCACGCCAGTAATCGTGCCAACGTTCTCGTGGTCGAAGAAACCCTCGTTCGCCGCGAGCTCTTCGAAGACGAGTGGCTTCTCCATACCCCGTGGCAGGATCCGGACTGGCCAAATCAAACAAAGAACGTAATACACAAGGCCGCCCATGCAGAAAGACAAGATGAAGCCTAGCTTGTACATGTTCTTGGATGCTTGGTTGACCGAGTCTGGATCCAATGATCCAGCTATACCGTGGATAACAAACGTCACTCCTGCGACCCATGCAACGAGCATACGCAAGTTCCATCCTTTGTAGTATGTGTAGGGGCCTTCGGGCGAACACACATACAACGAGGGTACGTGGATGTTGCCTCTCCTCACGATCCAATAATCGACCACCATGCATGCACAGATCGGCATGAGGAACACGGTATAAGAGCCTAGGAATGTGAGAAAAGACGTCGCAGAGGCGATGATCTTCCAGGGGACAAGCAGAGGGGCCAATACAGCGCAAATGACCTGCCCTCGGACGATCGTCAACCAGCGTGGCCAGATACCCGTCAAGTCGGCACCGACTGGAAGCGAGTTGCTTCCAGCATTGGTGACCAGTATGGCAATCATCATTCCAAAACTGGCGAAGACCATACCACACCTAGCACCTGGAGTCCAATATTGATCAAGAATGGCATCATCTGTCAGACACGATTAGCATGGCTTCATCAAGTGGGTTTGAGGAAGAAGCTTACAGAGGTCCCATACGTTCCAAAAAGACTTGCCTAGCACACCGGTTGCTGCGGCTGTGGTAGCTGTGCTGATAAACATGACCAGAACCTTTGACATCAAGATACCGATACCCTGACTCCAAGTCACATCGCGATATGAGTGACCGTATCGAGCGATATCCGGCTGGTTGATCAGCACAGGCGCGAGAGCTCCCATCACAGAGTTGATAGCAGAGATCATAGGCCAGATCAACTCATGACCAGACAGGTGGGTCTGTTTTGTAGTATACTTGAAGTCGCCAATCTTGCCTCCATTTGCACTGATGGCCCAGCCAAGCACGCCGAGCAGAGAGATGGTTGTGTAGACTGCTTTGACGACGAACAAGTGTCGCAAAACTCTGGGATGGATAAACATGACGGGCATTTGGATCTGTCCTGGTTAGTATGTGGTTATGCGCAACGAAGACAAGAAACTCACCATCCAGAAAATGAAGAAGCTAAGAAGATCCCGAGAAGTGATACCAGCGCTCTCTGGCAAATGATTTGGGATGTTGTGATATCCGTTGCCGAGGATCCCACGCATGAACACAGATGTGATGCGTCCGCCATAGTAGGTCTGCGTCGCGAAGTAGATGATCGCGACCACAGCCCTGACAAGGATATACAACGAAGAGCCCCTGACACCGGCTGCGACACGAACATATACTGGAAAACCGACGAAGTAGTTGATCGCACCTCTTGAGTTAAGCACAACCAGGGCGGTCAAGATTGCAGAACCGATGACCGCGGCAATCATGCCGTGCCACCAAAGGAGACCGATCGAAACAAGCGAGGCTCCAAGATTGTAGCTACTCGGACTGAATGTCATCGTCAGGTAGTAGGCAAAGTAGTGTTGCCATCGCCACTTCCTATCCTCTGCAAAAACTCAGTACTGGCTCTGGTAAAGTTTGTCGAGGAGCATACCTGGCGGACTTGGAAGCAGGTCTTTGTTGTAACGGATAGGACCATCGCTATCCGTGGTCTGCAAAAACTCCTTGAATGATTTGGGGGAACGACTAGCAGCTTTCACCTGCTGCACAAATCGTGACATGGTTGCGAGTTAGTGATCTCTTCGCCATGGAGGCTGGGGCGTCCATTGTGAACATATATGCGAGTACAACACATGCAAGATAGTCCATAGTGGTATGCATACGACCTACTCAGCTCCGAACCGTTGCCAAATGATAATGACAGGCACGAGCATGGGTTGTAGGAGACAAGATACGCGAGATAAGCTGATAAGGAAGGAGCCCCGCAGGTTCGGAGATCCGACGACGACTTTACCAAGTGCCGATTGGCATCGGCAATCCCACCTCCACCTGCCTTCACACGATAAATCCATCAGAAGGAGCGCCGAATATGTCGATATGCTGTCACCTATCTCTACCCCAAAGATTGCATCTCACTATAGCATCATCGGCCCTCCGAAGCCAAGCAGCTGTGTCTAGTTGCATCTATCAGACCTTCGGCCAACATGGCAAAAGCTCCCAGTGTTCAAAGATCCAACCTTGACATGTTTACCCGCGCAACATTCGTTCACCTGCAATGCAAGACAAACAAGTTGCTGCAGAGGCATCAATTGTCGACCAAACCAATCTGCTACCGAAAAGACAACTGCTCATAGTCTTTGGCGTCCTAGCAATCTCCTTGTTTATATGTTTCGTCGACCAGAATGGCATTGGTGTCATATTGCCAACCATATCTCGGGACCTTGACGCCACCGATACCATCTCTTGGGCTGGTACATCAGCCTTGATTGCGAACACAGTCTTTCAAGTTCTCTTTGGAAGATTATCTGATCTTTTCGGTCAGTAATTTCGATCTACTTATGATCACGTGCTGACAGTCATATATAGGAAGGAAAGTTGTTTTCCTTTCGGCATTGATCTTGCTCGCAATTTGTGACCTGCTTTGCGGCTTCTCCCAAAATGCCGTCATGCTTTACATCTTTCGTGCTCTTGCTGGTGTTGCCAACGGTGGTATCACGAGCCTGTCCATGATGATAGTGAGCGATATAGTCACTCTTAAGGAGCGAGGTAAATACCAAGGAATTTTGGGCGCCTGTGTAGGATTAGGTAACATGGTGGGACCTTTCATCGCCGCAGCATTTGCACAGCACTCCACATGGCGAGGTCTTTTCTGGCTAGTCAGTCCACTTGCAGCACTTTGCTGTCTGGTATGCTTTTTCGTCCTGCCTCCTTCAAAGCAGTCATCAAAACTGGACTTCAGGAATGTCATCAAAAAGATCGACTATTGGGGCATTCTTCTCGGGTCTGCAGCCATCGTGCTCATCTTGATTCCCGTATCTGGCGGTGGAAGCTACTTCGCATGGAGCAGTCCTCTAGTCATCTCAATGCTGGCAGTTGGAGGTATCTGTGCTCTGGCCTTTTTCTTTGTTGAACATAAGATTGCGTTACTTCCCATGATGCCTTGTGAGTTCTCCTGCCCCCTGCATCTCTCACACCTATCGCCAGGGACTAAGACAAGCAGTGTCACTATTTACGAATGCACCTGTATGCGTGCTTCTCTTGCAGAACTTCCTGTTTGGTATAGTCTATTACTCGCAGCTCTACTATCTCCCGCTCTTCTTCCAAAACGCGCGGCAAATGTCAGCAATCACATCGGCTGCTCTTATATTGCCTATTACCGCAGCACAGATGACATTGTCCATCCTCTCAGGCCAATATATATCTAGACGGGAGCGATACGGCGAAGTTATCTGGGCAGGCTTCTTCCTCTGGACCCTTGGAGTTGGTCTTACTTGTATCTTTGATCGCGGCACGCCGATAACTGCTATCGTGGTTATCTTGCTCATTCAAGGGGCAGGTGTGGGTTTGATTTTCCAGCCCAGTCTAGTTGCGTTGCAGGCTCACTGCTCCAAAGAGCAGCGTGCTGTGGTCATATCCAATCGCAACTTCTTACGCAGTCTAGGCGGTGCAGTAGGTCTTGCAATCTCTGCTGCTGCGCTGCAAAACTCTCTCGAAAAGGCCATGCCTCCTGAGTTTTCGGCTTTCCTTTCATCCTACGACACTCCGGACTTTGAGGCATTGAGTGCTTCGCCAGAGCAGATAGAAGCTGTTCTACAAGCCTATGCTACAGCTAGCAGGACGGTGTTTATTATGAATGCACCATTCATGGGACTCTGCCTCATCGGCTGCATTCTGATCAAGGATCGTGGACTGCAGCGCCCTAACGAAGTTCAGCAAATCGCTTCGCGCGAAGACGTGGCTGATGTAGCGGAGAAGAGACTTGAGGATAAGGTGGTTGGCGTACTGCAATCTGTTCATGGAGCTTCCGCGCCCGAGCTGACTGATGATGTGAAAAGCCTCCATGAACCAGAAACGCGGTAGGGCCTCATCGAAATGAAGCCACATGTACAAGATCGAAGAAGTAGTAGTTTAATGCAAACCAGAACTGCTCCCATCGTGTGCGTATGACAGAAGATGTGACTTGCTGATATTTAAGGTGCATGCGCTCATTTTTCTAGATTGATTTGGGTATTTTGAACATTTGAATTTAAAGCACAGCAATTTAACGCCCTTGCTAACTAACTGGTCAACAATGCAAGTGCGACTCGAGGCGCGTCTCGATATTCGTGTATGTGAGCTACAAACATCCCGATAAGAAGTTACATCTCTCTCCAGTCATTAGCCCTCTCCCAAGCATATGCGGTCTCAAACACCGACATTTCATCCCACCACTTTCCGATGACTTGCATGCTCACAGGAAGCTTCACCTTCGCCTCCACACCCGGTCCTTCCAGAACTTCTAGCATTCCAATCGGCATCGCTAGTACAGGATGTCCGCTCTGATTGAACGGTGCAGTGTTCGTGGTCAAGCCAATCTGCTTTGTGATTTGCTCGATTGGTGTAGCGTCTGCTGCAGCATGACTGGTTGCCACATACGGCAGTGTAGGAGTGAGTAAGATATCGTAGTTTTTGAGTGCTGCGTCATACGCATCTCGCAATTGGCGAGACAGATTTGTTGCCTTGGCTAGCAGAAGAGGGAAGTTCTGCACAGCATAGAGACCATTGAGGTAGATGTTCTTAGTCGAAACGTATGCATTGTCCCAGTTGTCCTGACCCATTGGATGGAGTTTTGAATTAAGAGTCAACATCTGGTGACCTCGTCTTCCGAACGAACCAGATGTCTTTGCAAGATATCCTCCTACTTTCGAGATGCCGGTCCAGATGGCGGCGCCTTTCGAATGAATCGGGATGGAGATCTTATCGACTGTCGCGCCGAGTTCTTCGAATCTAGCAACAGCGGCTTTGAAAGTGTCGATTACGCGAGGATCTAAGGCCGGCAAAGACAAAGATTCTCTGATGACAGCGAGTCTTTTGCCCGTCAGTGGCTTATCCATTGGCAGATTCGCTATCAGACTGTATTCTGGGATCTTGGAAGGGTATGGTGCAGCAAACGAGCGATCATCGATGTTGTCGCTACCAGCAATAGCCTCGAGGAAGATGGCATTTTCAAGGACCGTTCGAGTCATTGGGCCAAGATGATCATTAGTAGGTTCATTCGAGCCACTGCCAGTATAAGGTACTAAACCAAATGTTGGTTTCAGTCCGACGATACCACAGTTGGCAGCCGGAACACGGATACTGCCACCTTGGTCTGCTCCAATGGCTCCGTCGCATTCACCAAGAGCAACAAGAACACCTGATCCACTCGAGCTACCACCAGAGCTGTAGCCTTTTGCGATTGGATTCTCGACTATACCAGTTCCTGAGGAATGACTTGTAGCACTATGGCACATGTTCTCACAGACGGCTTTCCCGAGGATCGTCCCACCAGCTTCCAGGATTCGTGTTGTGACAGTGGCATCGCAGTCTGGTGTATAGTCTGTGATGAAATTGGTGCCTAGGAGCATTGGAACTCCCTTCAGAGCAACATTGTCTTTGAGAACGAATGTTTTGCCATGAAGCTTACCGCCTTTGGCTTGCTTGTCGATGACAGTACATTTCCAAGCCCAAGCACCGTATGGGTTGTCATGCTTTTGGGGAAAGTGAATGTTCTCTCTAGAGAATCTGTCTTCATTCACCACGGGAATGTAGTCTGATGCTTGGTAAGCTCAGAACATCATGGTGGGCGTATTATATGCTTCTCACCTTCCATGCCCATCAGTTGTTCGCTTGCATCATGAAACACAGCCAACAAACGACGATAATCTTCCTTTTCATGATCTTCAATTCGGACTCCTAGCTGAGCGCAAAGGCCATCAAGTGTTCCTGTGGTCACAGGATTTCCTTGTTTGGCGTCTAAAGAGAAAACAGACATCTTCTTGACTTCTTACGGTCGATTCAGACAGAGCCACAGGAGGATGATCAGATGGTTGGGCGAGCGGCGGGCCTTATGCGAGGCACTCTGTAGTCGTCTTGACATGTTCACATGAGTGGGCGAGATCAAGCAAATTGACCCATGGGTGACCATTATCGAACCACTATCCGTCGCAAGTGACCTGCCACAGGCACAAGGAGAGGCTGTCGGAGGTCCGAATTGCGATAGGCGGAGAGGGGTTGTATGGCGGGGTCGAAGGCCGATAAGCATCAGATAAGAACATCGCATCCTCTCCAAAACCACTGGCCTTAATGATAGGCCAAAAATGTTGGTCCGAACAAGGAGGTAAGTATCCCCATTTGTATTGCATCGGCACATAGCCAATCTTGCGATAATATACTGCTCCACTCACTCATGTTCGATAAACAATACAAGCTGAAGTAGACAGTTATAATTCTACCAGGCCGTTCGCAAATTTCTACTTTGTTACAGTTTATTGCATAACACGTGACTCGTCATTAGCACTTATAGAGACGTATTGCCTATCATGGTCCATGTTGAAGAATCTCTGCAGTTGCCGAGAGATTTTGAAGGTTAGAGGGCGCCAGCACATCCACTTGGACAAGAGCTAACAGTATACCAAGGCTTTGGCGAAGAGGGCCACGATCCTCAATGGCCCAATGGTGCTCGTATAGCTGTATCATTCGTCCTGAACTACGAAGAGGGTGGTGAAAGAAACATCCTCGACGGCGATGGAACCAGCGAGGCATATCTCTGGGAGAAGGGTCCGTCCGGAGGTGGCAGAGAGCATCGCCATCTCAATGGCGAGCAAGACTTTGAATACGGAAGCCGATGCGGCGCCTGGCGTATCCATCGACTCATGAAAGAATTTGGTTGGAAGATGACTCTCTGGGCCGTCTCTGTTGCCATGGAGAGGAACCCTGCTTTTGCAAAGGCCTGCGTGCGCGATGGTCATGAGATCGGCGCACATGGCTACAGATGGCTTGACATCTGGAACTATTCCTTTGAAGAGGACAAAGCTTACATCAAGAAGAGTTGCGAAACTCTGGAGGCAGCAACAGGCGAGTTTCCAAGCGGAGCTTATTTTGGTAGAGGTACTCCTAACACTGCATCTTTGTTGCCTCTGATGTGGAAAGAAATGGGACACAAGCTGCTCTATACATCCGAGGTCTACAACGAGGACTCGCCTTATTGGATCGATCTTCCGTGGGAGAAAGAGCTTCCAGACTCGGAGAAGGAAGGCATGCTGATGGTTCCATATAACTATGACTGTGAGTATCTGCTTTTGAGTAGTTGGGGTGGACACTGATGTATCTCTGTAGGCAACGACGGCAAGTTTCACATGAGTCCCGGCTTTGTCAGCTCAAGCGGAGCAACGTACGAGCAGTATCTCAAAGATGCTTTCGACTGCTTATACCGTGAAGGCGGCAAAATGATGACAATCCCGATGCACAGTAGGATTGTGGGCAAACCAGGTCGATCAGAAAGTCTGCGGAGGTTCATGAAGTATATCTCGGAGAAGGAAGGGGTCTGGGTCACCACCCGCAGGGATATCGCAAACCACTATCGGGAGAAATTTCCGTATAAGCCAGGCTCAAAGACTGGTGGTAGCTGAGAGTCCGTAAGAGCTTCATGACGCGAGCGTTTCTTCTGGGAAGCGAAGATCAAAGTTCGCGCTTGGCCATTTTCAATTCGTGTAGCACCTTGTATCTATTGAGCTATAAGCCTTCCAATGTAGTCTTGTCTGTGTGACTCAGTGTGAGTGATTTCCTACCTCATGCACGTCGTGGAGCTGAATTCATCGTGGCTTTCAGCTGTACTGGCCAAAATTCAAGCACGCCACCAATTCTGGCCGTGTGTGACTGAATGCTTATCATGTCGCGGGTTGTCGCTTCCTTCCCAACAAACACAGATAACAGATTGGCCGCTGTTGCCAATGTATCTTGATGTGATAAATACATATGCGGACTGTCTCTGTGTCATTTCGATGGCGAGACAGGTCGCTCGTCGCTGCTGCTCCGCATGGCCAATTATCTGATATCTTCAAATTTGAACACTCAACAAACTGCGACCTCCTCTAACATTGATGATGCAAGCAACCCCAGGAAGAGGCAGCGAACTGCTTGTGATAGGTGCAAAAGCAGGAAACAAAGGGTATATAATAAGCTCGCCCTTTTCGCCTTCTGCCACTCATATGTTTCTGATAGTGTGATAATGCATATCCACAATGCACCAATTGCGCAAAGGCCGGCAAGGATTGCAACAAACCGCCGGAGACCGAAGCATTAAATGGCTCGTATACACGTGCCCTTGAAGACCAGGTTGCATACCTTGAGCAACGTCTGATGGCTATGGAAGAACAGCAAACTCGTGCTTCCTCAGCTTCGACCACAAATAACCTGCCTTCTCCCGCCCATGCCAATTGTCCATTGACGCCAAATGTCCTCGCTAATGATGCTGCTAACACTCAGGAGCTTGCATCTCCTTTCCGACATGAAGTCAATGTCGCAGACGTCGTGGGATTACTATCTCTTGGCAATGGCAATGCCGAATATGTTGGTTCTTCATCAGGCTTTGCACTGGCGACCGATCTCGGACGCATGGTGCAAGCTACGGTATGGAACAAAGCTCTATGGTTGCCCACACCTTCTGGCTCTGAATCCGAGAGACGCTCATCAAACTCTGATATAAGGAAGATAACTTTGCAAGAGCTCCAATCAAAAGCGAAGCCAGTATCTGATGCTCTAGGTACGCGACTGATTTCCACATATCTAGTCCGTATACATCCAAGGTTCCCGTTTCTGTTCCCTTCCGACCTGCGGGAGATTCATCTTCGCCAACAAATTACTGGGTCAGTCGCGGGCTCAAGGAGTGGTAGGATGCGCGATGAATTAAACAGCTTTGCTTCTCCAGCATACAATGAGTGTGGATTTGCCCTTTTCGTTTTGAACATGGTGTACGCTATAGGCGCTTTGAATCTACGCCTTACAGATCAGAATTACAAGGAAGTGCCTCCGGAGCAGTTCTACATCTCTGCGATGCAGCACGTCGCGAGCGTAAGGGAAGCATCACCCATTGATAACCTTCAAGCGTTGGTCCTTCTCATTCTGTATCATTTACGATCAGAATCTCGCAACGGACTTTGGCATTTAACAGGACTGGCTATGCGAACGGTGACTGATATTGGTCTGCACCGAGAGGCATCGACTAGGAAGCTGGCCCCTCTCGAGAAACAGCTTCGACGCCGCTTGTTCTGGTCTGTGTATGCTCTTGAGAGCATCCTTGCTGGGGCTCTAGGAAGACCAATTAGCTTGTCTGATTGCGACATCGATCAGCCGCTACCGTTGAGCATCAGCGATAACGACCGTATGCAAGGACGTGACATCAGCCACTCGCCTGATACTCCTACACCAGGTCAGGAGGCGTATCCACCGTCCAACTTGAGTCAATTCATCTTGTTGTCACAACTTCGAACTTTCGAGGCTCGTATACAGCGCACGATTTATCGAGTTGATCGGACGACGAGCGCTCTGCAACCGAAAATGCATCGCCTGATATCAGAGCTCGATGCATGGCGGCAGATCATTCCTTCTAGCTTACAGCCTAGTGAACACGAACGCCTCATGCTCCATTTCCACCGTGATGTGCGGCTTCTTCTACAACCTTTTTTGTCCATATTGGAACCAAGCTCGGAGCTCTTCCGCAGATGTGTGGACGCAGCTGGGCAGGTCTGTCAGATACACAAGCGTCTGCACCAAACTCCTGAATATGGACACAGTTTCGTTGCAGTACATACTGTTTTCGTGTCGGGCATAACTCTACTCTTTGCGCTTTGGAAGGGAAGCAACTGGTCGTTCAGCATTAGCAATGACATTCGCGCAGCTAGCTGTGTCTTGGCAATCATGGGCGAACGAGCGCCGTGGATCAGACGGTTCCGTGATGAGTTTGATGCTCTGACAGAGGCAACTATGGCAGCTCTGCAGAATGCAAATTGTGAAACTAGTGCTGAAGAAAGGTTTGAGACAGCAGTGCCAGCACCTGATTTCACTACTTTTGATGGACTAGGCATGACGGATGCTGCAGCACTAGAGATGGTTAGAGAGCTGTCGGAGTGGTTTCAAACGTAGATAGCTTAGATGAAGGTATATCGATACGTCTTGAGCGATACCATGAACTTTCCCAGCAATTTATGGCTGACCGACAATTTGTTTATTTTGTCTCTCGCGAGAAATAATTACGCCGAGGCTGGCTGGCAATGTTTGCCGAGGCTGAGAATGCTCAAGTCGTGTCAGCGAACCCTCCTTTTTTTATCTACACACAAGTCCTCTTTCAACAGAAGTTGGCACCACAGAAGACATGTCGACTCTCAAAGAGATTCTTGCGCTCGAGCAAGTGGAGCCCAATCGTACGTCTGAGTGATGGAGTGCGATGGTAGATCGTCCATCGAGTTTTATGCTGATTCGGGCTGTTATTATAGGCTTCCAGGGCAAATTCAACCCACCTCGCATGGGAAATGTCTTGCCAATTGCTTTCGGAGGATATGCCATCGGTGTGGCGACTCAAGCTGCTTGCTTTGATATTCCAGAAAACTTTAGACTGTACGCGATCAATGGCAACTTTTTGGGTCCGGCATACACAGACCGACCTGTGGTCGTCAATACAAAAGTATATCGCACTACAAAGACCTTTATCACAAAGCTCGTTGAGATCCTGCAGAAGCAAGATGATGGCAAGGATAGAGTATGTCTGGTAGCTTTGGCAGACTTCCATGTAGTAGAGTCTGAGTCCTTTATGGTATACTCCGCACCGCCAAGCATGAAGTACTCTTCAGTCGAAGAGTCCTGGACGCCAGCAGACCGCAAGAAAACCATGGTGAAGGAGAAGATCTTGACGCAAGCCGAAGTGGACACACACGACAAGATTTTCAGTCTGATGGGCAACTTGATCGACATGCGATTTACGCCCCAAAGCATTCACGGACAGACTTTGCAGGGCTTTGCAAAAGGATACAAGACCACGCAAGAGCATCTTTCTCTTACCGAACGCTCATCGTCAGACTGGCTCCGTGTGCGCGAAAAGGTCACCACTCACTCTGAGAACGTCACTGATCTGGCTTTCCTACTGGACGCAAGCATCTCCTTCACACCGCTTGTACTGCAAAGCATGCCATTGACCGAGTCTGGAGCTTGCTCGACTTTGGATTTCTCGCTCAGATTTTTGACGCCGGAGATTAATGCCAATGATTTCCATCTGCGTGAATGGAAGACATATGCTGGCGATGCTGCGAGAACATTTTCGGAAGCAAGACTTTGGGATAGCAAGGGCAAGATGGTTGCGAGCATGACTCAGACTTGCATCCTGAGACCTCCTCCTAAGAAGGCGGCGGCGAAGAAGTCGAAGCTCTAGATGCCAGTTTCCTTGATTCGAAATAGAATTGTGATACAGTACAGGTATGCATAGACGGCCAATTTACTAGAACTTATCGTACAGCCAGCAACATAATTACATCTGTTCGTGTGAGTTCGATATCTCGTCAGCCATATGCCTCAACGAGGTTCTGATTTAAGAAGCTTGATTGATAGGTGGTTGATATCGCGACGAGCCCCTCGTCTTGGCACGGAAGCTCACCGAGGCAAGTGGTTTCTTATCTCCAACGCTATCAGTCGCAGCTGCCTTTGTATACCTTCCAAGGACTGCTCCTTCCGCCTTGAAGGGTGTTGCGACATGATGTCCAAGATACATAAAGCAACATGTCTCAAGATTCGCCATTCAATGCACCTCAAAAGACACGCCGGATCACACAAGCTTGTGACTTTTGCCATCGACGAGGGTTAAAGTGTAAGAGCAGCGAAAACACAACGCGTGCTGTCCAGTCATCATGTTTGACTTGCATTGAGTACGGTCAGGAGTGTACCCGACTGCGTCAACCAAAACGGCGTGGCACGAAACCCAAACGAGAGCAGCGCAACAGCTCCAACCGAGCAGGAGACAATCTAAGGAACGAAACTCAAGCCCCTATCGAGGTGCCATTGCCACAAGGAAGCAGAGCATCAACTTCAAATTTGAAGAACAGGAGGCTTGTCACAGGCCTCCTGGATGTGTATCTGGACACCATCCATCCGATGTGAGGGGCCACATTTCCCTTTTCAATGCAACGTACCTGATATCATACTGTGAAGTTTCCCGTTCTTCTGCGAGCGTGAGCTCTGGGTCGGGTGGAGAGATGGTTCTTTTCCGGCGGACGAATCCGACGAAATGAGCTTGGCCTGTATGTGTGCGCTCAGCGCCCAACATGTCGGAAGCGGTGCTCTGTTCAGCGATGAAGTGCCTGCAACAGACAGCGCTCCATCCGCACAAGATTTTCTCATCGAGGCTAAGAGAATGGTTGCTATGGACTTCGAGACCCCTTGTCTGAATCAGATTCGCTCTTACGGTATGCTTGTGCTTTTAGGAGCTCAGAGCAACGACAATGCCATGGCGCACAAGTATCTTGGTCTTTATCATGGCTTGTGTGCACACTGGAATCTGTTCGATGAGGCCAAATGGCCCAAAGGCATCAACAACTGCGAAGTTGAGGTTCTGCGCCGACTGTGGTGGATCTTATATCGTCTCGAGGTCCACACCGCCTGTGTCTTTGGCACCATGATACGAACTCCAGAAGCACAATGTTTCGTAGGCTATCCTGTTGGAACCCATCACCCACCGTTCATTCCCGGACGTGAGGGTCAATTCGAAGACTGGTTCGCGGGCTGGAACTCGACCACGGATCTATTCAGAGCGCTGGAGCATGTCATCGTCGACTTGCGACTGCGACGAAGTCAGCGAAGATCAGTGTTTGGAAATGATGTGTCTAGCCACACCTCTTCGTTCACACAAGTGTTGGCTCGGATGCAGGATGACATCCTACCTCACTTCAGATTGGTCCGCTCAAGGTCTACTGACAGCGGGAGAAATCGATGTGGCTTTCAAGCTTCGAATATCCTCTGCATCATTCATCTTGGCCGCATGCTATCTGCTTTGGGAGATAAAGATTACAGTGTGGCTTGTCGAACAGCTGAAGATATGATAACTACCATCAGCAGCATCCCCTTAGAGTACGTACGGGCTATTGGATCTCCTCTGCTACAACAACTCGCAGGCGTTGGTCACATGCTTGCCACTCTGGCGAGTAAGCAGAAAATCACACAGAATGATCATGAGCAATGTCTTGTTGTGTTGGCATCTATCATTAAGTTCCTCTCGAAGTTTACCGAGCGCAATGGCACGGCTGCAACCGAGCACCAGAGATTGACCGATCGCCTGAGAGAAGCATCTGCGCGGACCGCGCGAGCAGCGTCTTATGAAACAGAGCATTCACCACTTACATGGTCAGAGGAGATGGAGACTATGTTCTCGAAGCTCGCGTCGTTTTCAACACTGACGAATGATCAGGCACTGTTCTCAATGAATCTGACAGGAAGTCTCTCGTGGTCGTATGAGCCGAACGCTTAGTTATGGTTTTACTCCAGGGAGTTGGCCTGTCATCTAGGGTCTAGCAAAAATTCTTATTTGCGAGTATTCGTCTGTTTCTGCCTGTTGGTCCTCCACTTGTAGTATTCGCCACCAGTCATGACAGGGTACTTCATCGGGTTCTCATCACTGACGCAGGTCGGGATTGGCTCGAGGAGCTTCGCCCTGTCGAACCCAAAGAAGAACGGCGCCGAGTACCTTTCCTTCCCGCTCTTATTAATGACTCGATGAATGGTCGACACGAAGAAGTCGTTGGTCTGCCGCATGAAGCTGTCGGCAATGTTGACCACAAACGAGCCAGGGATTGGATTGGCCTTGATCCACGCACCCGATTTGCTCAACACTTCTAGGCCTCCTGCGGAGTCTTGGGTAACAATCGTAAAGCATTCAACATCCGTGTGAGCTCCAATGCCGTTCTGATCATCGACAGAATGCTTTTGCTCAGGGTAATGAAGAATGCGCATGCCAGCTTCTGGCTGTCTGATATACTGATCGAAGAAGTCTTCTGGGAGATGCAAAGCTAGTGCGAATATGCCAGTAAGGCGGCGCGAGAGTGCTAACAGCTTTGTATGGTACGCATACAGAGATTCGCGGAAACCAGGAAGGTCAGAGGGCCAAATGCTGACAGAAGCCTGAGTCTTATCTTCCGCCAGAGGGTCTTCCGAGGCATCATAAGCCCAATTGAAAGCCTCGCTGAGATCTACAACAGGCGAGAATGTCAGTCATTAGGGCAGTGTCATCTCTTTTGCAAACTTGCCTTGGTGCTTCCAGCCATTCCTGTTATAACACATCATAGGATGGTACCCTACATACTCGTTGGGTACTAGGCCAGTAAAAACCTCCATCTTCTTCTGCTCAGGCAGTGCGAAGAACCTCTTCGCCTGTTGCATCGCCTCATCGGCATACTTCTGGTCAATACCCTTTGCAGTAGTCAGTACGATTGAGCTTATGAGTTCAAAAACATAGCTCAATTATGGAACATACATGATTGATCAGGTAAAAGAAGCCAATCTCATGAGATGCAATACGAATGTCCTCAGCGACTGCTCTGCGATCCTCAATTTTGTCGCTCCAGATTCGTGCTGCATCGATAACGGAGATGTTCTCGAGATCAGTGGCTATATTGGAGGTGAAGGTAAAGGTATCTCCATTGTGCAGCCGGACAGTGCGAGGACTCTCTTCAGACTCTGTGATGGTCGTAGTCTGGGACATAGTTCAAGATCAAAGGTATAGCAGGTGATCGAATAAAGCTGATAGCGGTGGCAGATTAAATCTGAATTTCGACGGTCGCAAAAATCTGGACTCTACAGGCGTTTAAGAGCTTCATGGTCTTCAAACTTGCTGACTACAACTGACTGGCCAATTATTTGATTGACTGCAAAACTGCAAAACTTCTATCAGTGAGCTGTCAGCTGAGATGGACGGCCAAGAAGCTGGTTGATTACTGCATGTAGTCTTGCCCGCTGTGTAGGCCTATCGACCGGATCGGGGAAGAAACCGCTAAACTGTTGAACTGCTGAACTCGAAACAGACAATCTCCATCAATCAATGCGGGGCGATAGATTGCTCTGTGGGGTGGCTTCTGCCAGATAAACACTTCCATTGTCAAGCCTTGTATCTCATACTTTATCAATGCCCAGGATGCCTATCTCGAGTGACAATCTTGGAGGTATTCAATTCACCAACGGTTGAGAGCTTGTTCGGAATGGCCGCACTGAACATATAAACCCAAGACGGCTCTGGATCATCCCATCAACAATTCAATACCTATATTGTTCATCCGAGTCGGGATCATGAGTCGAACTTCGTTGGCAAAGCGCCTAGCACGCCGCATTGAGGTGCAAAGAGATACCGACACTGATGTCGACATTTACGTCAACAAAGATACGCGACCACTTCCTCCCTCGCGGCGAACATACGGTCCATGGGAGTTCGTTGGGCTATGGATGGTAACAGGATCGTTTAATGTTGGTGGCTGGGCTACAGGCTCTTCCGTCATCTCCTTGGGCCTCAATGTCTGGGTAGGTAATTTTGAGACTTGCAACATATGACTATGCTGACATGATCATGTGCTGAAGCAAGCTATGCTTGCCATTATCATAGCAAACACTTTTGTTGGGCTTGTATGTATTGCCGGCGGCCATCCTGGTGCAAAGTGGCATATAGGCTTTCCATTATGGATGAAGCAAAACTGGGGCATCTGGGGTTATCTGTTTCCGATGGTTTGTGAACACCTAGGCGGCTGAGTATCACAAATCTGACCACCTCTCTCAGGCTATCCGTGTATTTCTCTCCTTCGTCTGGACTGCAACGAATACCTGGTATGGCAGCCAATGTCTTCGAGTCTTCTTGACATGTATTTGGCCGTCTTTTCTCAAGCTGGACACAGAGCTGGCAAATGGAGCAATGAAGGTCTACGACTTTGTCTCCTTCATCATTTACTTTTTGCTTTGCTTGCCCCTTATCTGGTTCAGCCCTGAGAAGTACAAGAAGCCTTTCTTGATTGCTTCGACCACCGTTGCAACTACTGTGTTTGTGCTCCTGATATGGTCTGTCGTTCGTGCTGGTGGAGGAGGAGCACTCCTTACAGATGTGGGAGCAGTCTCCGGCCACGAGCCAGCCAAAGGAAGTGCTCTAGGATGGGCTTTCGTCGCAGCGGTCACTGCCAATATAGGCAGCATTGCCACGCACATGTGGTCGCAATCAGACTATACCAGATATGCGCGCAAGCCCGGTGATCAAGTGCTCGCTCAACTGGTCATGGTGCCTCTTGGAACCATTGTTGTGGCTTGCATTGGGATTGTCTGCACATCTTGTGCTGCCACGCTTTACCCACAGGAGAAAAAACTGCTGTGGCAGCCATACGCCTTCCTTGATGCAATTCGCGAGCACGAAGGCACCAGTAGTGCACGAGCCGGAGTAGCATTTGCCGCAATAGCCTTCATGTTCTCCCAATTCGGTATGGTTGTGGCATCAAACTGCGTGGTGGCAGGAATCGGCCTGGCCGCTTTGCTTCCGCGATGGTTTACCATTCGTCGTGGAGGCTACCTCACAGTCGCCTTCGTCTTCGTACTCCAACCGTGGTCTCTACTAAACAGTGCAACCAACTTCCTGACTGTAGTCGGAAGTTTCAACGTCTTTCTTGGTCCCTTGATGGGCATCATGTTCGCAGACTACTTCCTCCTAAGGAAGACTAACATCAAGCTCACCGAGCTCTTTTCCAACGACCCTACCAGTATCTACTGGTACACCAAAGGGTGGAATTGGCGGGCAGCGATTGCATGGGTTCTAGGAGCTTCTTTCCTTATGCCTGGACTTGTACAAAGAGCTGTCGACCCAAAAGGCTTTTGGCCAGGATGGACCAGACTTTATCAATTGGCATGGTTCTTTGGTTGCTTAGTGTCTGGGATCGCATATTTGGTGCTCGATCACTTCTGGCCTATGTCTGAGAAGCTGGCAGTCGACGACCTGGACTACTTTGGCACCTTCGGAGACCCGCCGATCATCACGGATGCATTTGCTGTTGATGCTGATTGCAAGGACATTGTTATGCACACGAAAGGAATAGATGTGTAGATGGATCGCTTGATTGTTGCGCAGAGTATGTACTTGTCAAAAACCGTGTTTAAAGCACGTACGGCCACATATTGTTTTCTTCCTCTGCCTCCTAGAACTCATAGGAGTTGTGGTTTTATTTCTTATATTTCTATAATAGGTTAATATTATTATTTGGTTATTTATAGATCGCAAGCCATAAGCCAGGAACTCGGGACAAAGGACTTTTCAAAAGTGGCGGTGTGTGGTTGGAAGCGTGATCTACCCTGTCAGCCCACTCTGGACGCATTATCAGACCTTCAGAATAATATAGAGACAGAACGCATTGCAGAAGATTCTTGACCCATCTTTGATTCAATCTTCACTTTTTCGACATGGAGACAGACGCCCAGCGAACTCTATTCAACAAGTACGCTGAAAAAGTGGTAGGCGGTGCAGTCTGTCCGTTAAAGTGGCAAGGCTATTACAGCTATACCGTCGAGTCAGAGGACGGGCGCACTGTCATTCAATTCAGGTCAGACCAATCACCACTGGATGATGAAATCGTGAAACTTGCAAAGAGAGTCCACCCTAATCTGGTCCCGGCAATGGAGTGCTTGGAGTTCTCGATGACCGTACGATCTCAGTGTGGAAGATGGACAAGATTCCTGGTGTTGGCTTCCTTGAGCTGATAAGTGATGACAAAATCACGACGAAACTCTCAGCGACAGTAAAGGATATGGCAGAGTGAGTTTGTCTGGAAACAAGCAATAAGGTCGCTGACGAGATCAAACCTCAGATTTTACATCCAGGCTTGGGAATCTTCCCAGACACCTGATGAAGAACAAGTAGTTCGTGTACGGCAAGGGTTCGAAATGAAACTGGGACAGTTGGAAGAGAATTCGTCACCATGGCTTCTGGCCCACGTCACACATGCTCGGCAAGCGCTCTATGACATCCTCCAACTGCCATGGGTTCTGACCCATGACGACCTATCAAGCATGAATCTTCTTCTAGATGCTGGTACAGGAAATCTGCGAGGCGTGGTAGATTGGGCAGATGCTGCAGTCCGGCCGTTCGGGATAGCACTTTGGGGCTTGGAGAGTGTTTTAGGTTATTGCGACCCCGATGGGTGGACTTGGCTTGATGACGAGTCTTGCTCTTACAGGAGACTGTTCTCAACGACTTTACTGAATGCAATACATCTACCCGCTAAATGACTCGTCACAGTCGAAAAGGCTAGGAAACTTGGTCTCCTCTTACGTTACGGATTTATCTGGCAAGATAATCGGTTTGTTCTCGCGAAAGACACTACCCTGCTTGAAACTTTGCTTGAGAGTGAGTATGGAGAAGTCCTTCTGCATTGGATGATGCTAACAGAGCGAAGATGCCATGTTCATGTAGTTGCAAAGTCCATGGTTTTGACATAGATATGAGCATCTTCATATTACTGAGAGTAACCTGATAATGTCATCCAAGTCTCAGCTACTTGACTGTAGATTATTACCCAGGTATCTCGTGGACTTTCTGAGGACGATCAGTCGTATACGCGAAGACGATCTCTCACTTGGTTATGCAAAGCGGTATCTCAGCCTTGAGACCCAGCCTCGATGCATCGCTTCCCTCGGTACGATAAGACCAGAAACATCATTATCTCGTATGTTAAGAAGAACGAGCTCACCAATCAATGCCTGGTAGATGTGAGCCTGCCCTTGTACACTTCCAGCAAGCTTCGGAAAACGCTCAATACGTACTCCAAGGAAGTTGAGCTTTCAGAAAATGGACGTATAACTCTGCTCGTCGTTGGGTTCTGCATCATTTGGCTGCGAAGGCTTCGCAGATGCGCGTCTGGGTCGAGGGTGGTGTTTTTGCTTTTATTATTGGACTCGGAAGGGCAATCTCGTCCCCTCGTTCAAACCAAGGATGACCGCATCGGTAAATCCAGTACGGAGATCTGCCTCTCCTCAGAATTCGGAGTGGTTGTTTGTCTGTGGTTGCTCAAAAAGAATCTGTACAGCAAAGTGTCGTTGCGTTGAGTCGGCGATGCACCCGATCAGACGCCTTGTATGCGCAGCGACTCAATAGTTGACATGAGGATATATAGACAAAAAATAATGAGTTGAGCACGTACGGCCACAGTCAGCTGAAAACTGGGCATCCCGTCCGCTCTGCCATACATAAGCAGTTGAACGGCAGATTAGTACTACGGTGGGTGACCACGTGGGAATCCCTGCTGCTGTACGTTTTGTTTTTGCACTCATAGTAACCGTCTTTTTATCCTGCATCCTTTCCTCAATAGCATAAGAGCTGCTGTTCGCTTTGTTATGTTGTGGCGATAGACGTGTGGGCAGCTTTTTTTGCGTAGCTGTCGGCTTGTCGCAAGCACTTCCACAACCCATCAGAAACCATCACCAATGTTTTGACACGCGTATGCGAAGAGGAGTGCGCATTCTGATTTGCGAATGAAACTTGAGAAGGGGCACTTGGTAGGTGAGCTGTATATTTGAATCTATATTCTGTCTTTTTCGTTCTTACAGTCACCAAATTGTCTTCTAACAAGATGCGAGACTTGCAAAGATGACGATACTGGGTCCTTCCAATATCCATGCTCGTTCTAGACATGACAATCGAAGTCATCCCAGTCCACATCATAGCCGTAACACTCTTCCATCATCTTCACACAGATACCTCCCCCACCAGTCTCAATCATATTCTGTATAGCTCCCGCAGCTTCAAGGAAGATTTTACTCCTCGCTTCCGTTCCACCACTCTTGCCTGCTTTGTCTTTCGCGAAAGCGCGCTTGAACAAATAGATAACAACAAATGGCAACTGATCCTCGCGCTCCAGGTGTCCGGGACCAAATGTTTGGCGTATGAAGTCCGCGCAAGCGTCTCTGACATTACGGAGGAGCATCCAACAGAAACGGTGTAGGCGGAAGTAGTCAAAGGTCAGGTGCATACCTTCAGACTGGAGCGAATTGGCAACGCCTTCGAGGAAGGTACCGGCTCTGAGTCTAGACTTGGTAGTGAACTTCGAGGTGATCTGTTTGGAAGGTCGAGAATTTAGCATTTGACTGTGTATGCATCTTCTCTGCGTTGATGCCGTGACTCTAGTGTACGTACCTGAGCTGCAACTTCATTGGTCGGCGAGGTGCCTTCCAAAATGAAGTTTTGAGGATCACTGAACTGACTCTTGACGTGTTCTTCCACCGCGTCTAGATCAGTGGACAGTGATCTTCCATTATGAGCGTAGCGCGGAGCAAACAACCGTGACAGTGTGGATATGTTCTCGAAACCGCGAGCTCCCTTTTGCGAGGCCTTAGGAGTAGTCTTTCTGGCGTTCCTAGCCAGAGAAGTGACCGAGACGCCTATGCAGAGTTTCAACCGCTTGAGGTAATCTAAAAGGGGGCATTCAGTAGTATTCGAGGCGTATTCTCTTATACATACCTTCAGGTTTCTTTGGTCGGTCACCGATGAAAATCTTATCAGTTCCTTGGAACAACAGTGCCAACTCCATATCTTTCCAGATGCCCTTCACAAGTTTCTCTTGTCGAACTGCATTGTACAAATGTGCCGCATATATGACTGAGCTCCACGAGTTGCAGAGAGTCATACCAGCACCTTGCATCAAATATCTCAACGAGAACAGCCAGATACCACAAAGTGACGGGTATTGCCTGAGTAGCTCGAATGGCTCACCACTAATCTGTGCAGCGATGGTGGGGTTCCTGAGAAGTGACCTCTCGATGATCTTCTTAACGTTATCCTGCTTGATCCAAGTGTCAATGACGTTCTGGATGGAATCCAACGCTCGGTCATTATGAGCATCCCAAGTCTTGGTGTGCAGATTCTTGTGAAACTCAGAGTTTTGTTTGAGGGAAGTCTCAATATCTTCGGCAGCAGTCTGGAGTCTAGAGTAAAATCTGGTCAGCACAATTCGGTCTCATGATAATTCGGACAAGATTGGGCATAGTGCAAGAATCGACCATCGAGGCACCATCGGAGCACTTACTCAACAACTGCTCTCGATGCTTCAGAGCCCATGACATGTTGAATATCAAGGAAATTCTGAAAGGCAAAGGTGAGCCACAGAGGAATCTTCTTGCCTGGCGCCATCTGCCTGACACCTCTGATCAATTCGTCTTCAGCAAAACAACCGACATTGGCTATAGCAGAGAAGCCGGAGAAAGCTTCAAGCAGCACAAGTTTGTCATCCTGAAGCTTGTCATGCGGAGTCTTCTGTGACCATTCTGTAGAGAGATTGCGAAAGCCAAAGTGACCAGGCTTGTAAAGAGGAATGTGGCCAGGCGTGACCACATCACTCAGGGAGGCCAGGATGGTGTAAGTTGTCAGAAGAACCTGGTCAGCAAGATCGTACATTGCCATATTGATTATGTCGTCGGGTCTCTGCCTGTGGTCGGGATCTTGGCCTTCAGATATGCATCGAGCGACGTACAAGGTCTCGATAAGACCTTCATAGTCCGCATGGTTAGGGAAGTTCTTATCGTAATCTTCCTGTATGTGGCGGACGAGCTCAACAGCGGTGTTTGTTGTAATGGAAGCTGATTGCAGATCAATCTGCCCATTGCGATACATGATCCATAGTGATTTGATGCAAGCTCTGATGGCGTTGACGTCAGCCAACAAACAGTGAGCAGCAAGGTATTGCTCTTCAGCCTGCTGGAGTCGTTCAGCCTCGTAACGGGAATTGTCGTCGAGCTTGACAGGAATGCCGGTGACTTTCTCAGGTGGAGGAGCGTCGAGGAACTCGTCACCAGGCTCTTCCAAACTCAGAGCTGCGAACGCATTGTCGATGTGGCCTTTGTCAGAGCTCTTCGTGGTGGAGCCTACGGGGCGTCTGGTCATACGATCGTCGACAGTATCAGAAGGCATGCGTGACTTCAACGTTTCACGGACGCGCTCGAGCACACCAAGGAAGAAGTTATGGCCATCGTCTTTCGAACACTTCTCAGCATTACTGAACCAGGAGTTGTGCTTTCTTCGTAGAGCAATAGCACGATCCAGAACGCGGACAAAAGAGGAAGGGATTCTGACGGGTGGTCTCTGAAAGGCGACAATGTATTCAGCTAGAGGTATGAAGTCTTTGACGGCAATCGTGTAGGTCGTCGAGCCAGAGTGTGCAGTAGACTCTGAGCTTTTGCTCTTGGCCGAGGTTGCTGCCTTAGCGAGCTTACGAGCCTTCCCTTTCAATCTCGGCCCTTTCTGAGAAGATAGATCATCTCCGGGCCTGGTGAGGCAATCCAAGGCATAGCCACATTGTTTAGCCGTTGATGCCAGCCAAGTCGCAACTGAGTCTGTATCCTCCTTGTAGATGGTGTAAGAGCCTCTGAGAGAATTGGGCAGCATCTTGGGACTGTCTGTATCGGTAGGATGTCATGATGGTGAGTTGATAGCGATCATTGTGAGCTATACATCACAAACAAACGGAATGATGAGGTGCATTGACGAAGCAAACGAAATCGATCAGCGTGGTGGTACAATGGCAGATCTCACCGCCTGCTCTTATCTGAAACACAGCTGCTCAACTTATGCAGGCACCCATCCCTAGGCTGAATTCTCCCGCTTCATTTCAAATTCGACCAGTTCTTTTTTCAAATGGTTGTAGTCCTCTTTTAATGTATACAACTTTGAGGTGGAAAGAGTGGGGGACATAGAAACCGGTGGAAATGTGTCGTGGAGCTCCTTAAGATGCTGGTCTGTCCGTATGTCAGTCCGTCGGATGGCGAGTTTCTCAATGCTTGATGGCAAATTGTTGTGAAGGTATGGTAGTGCCACATGGTATCAAAAGAAGCCACAGTCTATCCGTAGCTCTTTGAAAGATGACATGTCGAGGGGTTCTCGATAGAAGTACTCAGGCAACGACAAGATCAGACATTATCCATCCCTATACTTATCATCCGACCACCATGATCTCAGTCCAGATCAGAGTCAGAGTCAGGATTGTCATGTCCCCAGGTGAACGAATATCTTCTACTAGGGTCTTCCTCTACCTGGACATGAAGCTGGAGTGCACAAGCTCGCTCCTGTATGAAATCCAGTTCATCCTGCACATGCTCATGAGACCAGCCGAGTGTGTAAATTTCCAGGCTTGAGAGAGTAGGAAACCGACGATTTGAAATCATTGCATCAAGGAGCTCGTCGACGTCTTGCATCCATACGTAGGCTCTACGGATAGTGATTTTCTCAATGCTTTCTGGCAGTGATTCGTGCATGAAAAAAGGCCCATGACCAGTAGTTTTCAACAGAGCCATGTCCACATGAAGATAACGCAGCTTGTTGAAAGACCTCAGATCGAGAGATACTCCTGTGTAGTCGTCGTGCAGCATTATTTTCAGACGTTCAAGCGTATCTGTTATGTTCTGTAGAGGATTCAAGTGCTTGTTAGTGATGGGTATGCGTGACATAGTGTCGGGATTAGAGGCGAATTTGGTATTGATGTCCAGCGATTGCAACTTTGTGCACCTCTTCAAGACACTTTCGAGACCTTCTCCATCCAACTTGCAACGGATCAGCTTTAGATGGAGGAGTGAAGTGAAGCTAATTTTCGGTTGAATGGACAGCAGTGAACCGTACACACACAGCCCTCTTCCATGGAATGAGGTGATGGTCGGCTGCGAAAGAAGACACACGCAACTGGCCAAAGACTTGATATAGCCATCAAACGACCACACATCAAGGCACTTGAGAGAACAGAGGATCCGGGGCGATTGGTCTAGCCTTGACTGCAGTCCGACTGAACGTTCGTGCGACAGCCGTTTGGCAGACTTGAGAATCGAGGACTTAAGACTGGAACCTAAGGTGGTCTTCAAGAGCATTTTCACAAAGTAGTCAAGGCCACCTGTTTCCGAGTCAAAGCGTAGTGAACGCAGGTTTGGAAGCAGAGTCAGTAGAAGCGCGACTTCTGCTCCCTCGTCACCACTCTTTAGGCTTTTCTTCCATGACCTTCTGAAATGTTTGCGCAGACTATCAAATCCCACGAAAGATCTGAGAGCAGCAACAAACGCGCGAGAAGTTGATTTATTCAAAGAGACCTTCTTGTGAGTGTCTTCCGGCGCAAACAAGCCGATACGTAGTTGTTCGACCATGGCAGCAAGATCAGGACGGTGGATTATGGTAAAGAGAAAGTTTTTAAGTCTTGATTGCTCGCAGGCAACACGAGAGTTGCGTTCGTCTTGTTGATGGTGTTTGTGCTGCCGCTCGGAGTCTGAATTCAGTAGCTGGTGTTGAGCGGCAGATTCTTCGTGCTTGACGAAATTGCAATACAGCTGTGATTGGAAGATGGCGCGAAGTTGCTTGGCTATAAGACATAGACTGATGATGGCCTGCTGGTTGATCTTTTCATCTTCACTAAGTGTCTCGTTTCTGCGTGTGCACACATCAGTCGGGAGTTTGAGATGGTCGGCGCCTCCAAGCCAGATCTCGTTTGGAAAGTGAACCATGTCAGGCGCACACGAACGCCCTGGTCAAGTTGAGAATTGTGGGAGGTGCTGTGATTGTTGCGCTGTTGTCTCGGCTGAAGTAGGGAAAGTGCTCCGATGAATGTCGTGCTGACAAGTACGAGCTGTAATTCGCCTAGAGTGGATGCGATCTTTGTTTTGAGTTGGCTGGATGTTTCGTGATTGATTGACAGCAAAGGGCGAGAATGTGTGGTGGAAAGAACACGAAGCGGAGCTCGAGGAGTGAGCAGATTGTTGCAACAACAAAACAAGCACGGCGAAAAGTGAGTTGTTGCGCGGAAGGACCAAGTGAAAATAAACAAGGAAGTCACCACTCCCTCCGCATGAAGGAGCATGCTGCTTCTACAACTGTTGAAATGCACAAGAAATTCTAAGTCGGAGCCATGCCCACGAAGAGGCCATATTTTAGCGGCTCTCTCTGGAACCAGCTCTGATGTGAAATCAATTGTGCATAGTCACAATCTATAATTTGCTTGCTGCCACTGTGAGAGCGTAGCTCTCTGATTTCCTGGCCTATAGTGTCTGATTTCTCTGCTCTAGCAAGAGAGAATGTCTTGATGAAAAGAAGATTACTCACAGGGCAAAGATCCGACGAAACAGCATGGGTCCATGAGCTATGCAAGCAGATCTCCGTTCTACAGATGTCGATGTCTATGTCAGCAAGTAGAGACCGAACTACGTCGGTCGAGTCGACTACTCAAATCGACTCTTTGTTCATGAGTCAGATGGAAGAGCAGTATGAGGCATTTTCATGAGAAAAGCCTGCCTGGTACAGGTGATGCTCCTATGTGCTAGACCTGACCCGTTTCGTTTGACGTTCATGACTGAGCGTGCTTGTGTAGAGACGTTGATGCTCGTCGGGCGGCTTGCAAAGCCGCCGCAGCTCAAGGCTTGGCAGCTTTCTGTTACATACCGCTCAACCCATACCACACCCTACCCGTATAAAAGATAGAATCGTCGAAGACAATTCTCATTTTTTTAATAGTCGTTATATACTCCTAGCCTTTCCACAACATTGTTTGGTGATCTCTAGACACTCTCTAGCGCACAGTGTTACTTGAAGACCTTGCTGTCTGCACATTCCTTGCCCTCAAACTGGATGGGAATATCCAAGGCCTGGATGTCCTTATCTTCGACAACAGAATTGCCGATCATATGATTGAGTTAATGAATTCATGTAGAGCTTGGAAAAAGGCACGTGAACTCTGGAGTTGGTTGACGTTACGCGTTAAAATTTGAATATCTCTATTCCCTATGCTTTTTGCACACCCTAGCCTTTCCACAACATTGTTTGGTGGTCTCTAGACACTCTCTAGCGCACAGTGTTACTTGAAGACCTTACCATCGGCCCACTCCTTGCCCTCAGGCTGGATGGGAGCATCCCAGGCCCACATGTCCTCGACGAACTTCTTGTCCTCAGGGTTCTTGGGGTCGAGCTTGGTGAACTCGTAAGACTCGACGTCAGGGGCGACGTCGAAGGCAGGGAGAGCCTCCTGACCGCGGACGAGGAAGGCACCACGAACGATCGAGTCGTTGGAGGAGCCGTAAACGGAGGCGGCACCGAAGATGTACTTGCGGGAAGCCTCAAGACGGGTGAAGAAACCACCGATGAGGTTGGAGGTCATGAAGGTCATGGTGAGCTCATCGTTGTACTTGTAGTCCATTCTCCAGAGGGAGTACTCCTCGAAGTTGGCGTTCTCCCAGAACCAGGGAAGGGCGACCTCGCGGGTCTCCTCGTTGGAGTACTTGCGCTTCAGCTCGTCAAGGACGAAGGTCGGGCGGCCGAGAGCCTCAAGAGGGTGCTTGGGCTTGGGGGCAGGGGCAGCCTCCTCCTCGGCCTCAGCAGCCTTGGGCTTGGGGGCTTCCTTGGGCTTCTCGGCCTTGGGGGCGGCCTCCTTCTTGGGGGCGACGTTGGGGATGGCCTTCTCAATGAACTCGAGCTTCTCGGCGACGTCAGAGTAGATGGACTGGTTGGTGACAGTCTCGAACCAACGGGTGACGTTGGGGTTGTTGCTGCGCCACTCCTTGTCGAAGAAGTACTGGAAGCCACGGGAGATGATGCCGGCAGCGAAGAGGTCGGCAAGAGTGAGGCGCTCACCAACGAGGTAGGTGTTGACGAGGAAGTGGTCCTCGAGGGCACCGACGGCCTTGGCGGTGGCCTTCTGGGCATCCTCGACGGACTTCTTGTTGTAGGGGTCACGGCCAATCAAAGGGCGGAACCAGCCACCAAGGGCGGTAAGGACCTCAGTGTTGGCGAAGGACATCCATCTGAGGATGGAGGCGTAGTCCTGCTTGGTCTTGCCGAGGAGGGTGGTCTTCTCGTTCTGGGAGGTGACTGTACAGCAGATGCGGTCAGCGCGCTGTCGCAAATAAATTGGAAGCCATTGTTTGTGCAGAAGTGAGGGGTAATGGAGCAATCAGATCAAATAAAATCTCAACAATAGTCTTCAGACAGGGATAACTGTTTGATAATATGTCTCATCATTGCAGGGAGGTTGGCGGTAGAGGATCCTGAGGTGGGGTGTAGGAAACGGAGAGCAATTGGGAAACGTACGGTAGATGGCGATGGCAATGCACTCGGTGAGGACGTAGCCGTCAGTGCCCTCGAAGGTGGGGACCTTGCCGAGCTTGTTGAGCTTGAGGTACTCGGTGTCGACACCCTTGGCAGGCTCGGTGTGAACAATGTCAAGGTTGAGGTTGTTGGCCTTTGCGACGGCCAGCAGGGCGGTGGTACGGGGGTTGCCCTGCGCGGGGATGTTAGCTGCGCTGTGGATTGTGCCAGGTACGTGTTCCAAGAGCATACCGCGTAGGTGTAAAGCTTGCCGAAAGAAGACATTGTGAGGGGTATGTGCAACTGATGAAGAAGAAGCTACACAGAGGGGGTGGATGAGGTGGTGAAAAAGAAGAGCGGCGGCGTTGAGCTTTGGGCACCGCCTTCCAATTTTTAGTCGGAGGATCCTCGGCTGTTTCCGCCAGCAGCGACGAAGTTCACGGCCATGCAGCGACAGCGACAGCGAGGTCTGCAATAGCCACACTCTGCCATCATGGAGCTCGGTGCACTGCGGTCAGGCCTGCGCGCCGCCATTGCCTCATTCCGTCAGCCTGCCACAAGGAGGTTTCCCATCAACCAAACACAATTCCGCCGTCTGGCCTCGACCAACTCAGACACTCCGCTGGGCGACATTCGCGCTGCTCCTCCGATCGACTTTGATACCAACACCAAGCCTGCTACCGCCGAGGAAAACGCTGAGGATGATGACCTCGAAGGCGGCCGAAGTGTCGCTGCCTACACCGCCATGATGGACCGTCTGCGCATCGTCCCCGCCTCGCCCTCATATTTCACTGGCAAGCCCGACTTCACCGACGACCTGCTGAACCTCGAGAACCTCTTGCGCAAATACCAGACCCTGCCCGTACTTCCCACCGGACATGCTCCCCGTGTCGCATGGAAGACTCTGGCTCAGTACAAGGTCAACAGCAACGAGCCCGTCAAGGCCGCTCGTTACACAAAGATCCTGCAGGTCCTGCAACGATTGAACTACATCCACCCCAACCTCATGCCGGAAGAAGTCGCAACTGCCCTAAGACGCTACATGCGTGACGTCCAGCCATTCCACAACCAGCCCAAGCCCGGTGTTGTTGACGAGTACGGCCGCGCTAGAGGCGTCGGCAGGAGAAAGAGCAGTAACGCTGTTGCATACCTGGTTGAAGGTGAAGGCGAGGTTTTGATCAACGGCAAGCCCTTGACTCAGGCCTTTGGTCGTCTACACGACCGCGAGAGCGCTCTCTGGGCTCTCAAGGTCACCGAGCGCATGGACAAATACAACGTCTGGTGCGTTGCTAGAGGAGGTGGTACCACTGGCCAGGCCGATGCCATTGCTCTGGCTGTGTCCAAGGCTTTGATGGTTCACGAACCGTTGCTCAAGCCCGCTTTGAGGAGAGGTATGTTGAATATGGTATCTATGTGGATGTGCCACAGCAATGCTAACTATATTCTTCAGCTGGTGTTGTCACAAGAGACCCCCGTCGCGTCGAAAGAAAGAAGCCCGGAAAGGTCAAGGCCCGCAAGATGCCTGCCTGGGTCAAGCGTTGATCCTTGTACTATTATTACATTTTCCCCATACACTCTGTATATCTGTACAAAATTCACCATGTTCCTTTTTCGAGTGTGTCTCTTCCTCAAGCTTTACGCTGAGGTCTCTGCTTTTGCGCCTGCTCACACAATTCCCTCTTGGGCAACTTCTCCAGCCAACCTTCTTCTCTCTTGACCTTGCCAACTTCGAAGTAGTTCTTGCCAGCCTCACCCTTGAACATGCGACTCCATCCGTCGATCGTGTCATGCACTCTCTTCTTTGCCAATCTCGTGTCCCTTTCTCTTCTCTTCTTCATCTCGGCTTTTGAAGGAGCATCATCATCCACAGGAATATAAGTCAACTCTGCACCTCTGATATCAGGCGTCAGGTCCTCTTGGAAACATCCAGTAATAAATGCGCGAGTAGCATCACGGCCAGCAAAGAAGTTGTAACTTCCTCCTGGACCGTAGACATGGCGGCCAGCGCTGACGTCGTAGATGGTGCCGTTCAAAGCAATGTAGACTGGCTTGCTAGCGTCGCTACCATCGTATGCTTTCAATTCCTCGTCGGTGAGGTAGAGTGGTCCTCTCTGTTTTGTCCTGGTCAGTGGCTTGTTTCTTCGAGGGGTCGTGGGGGTGAGCACATACAAGCCAGGACGCAACAACCGCAGGCTTCGAGTACCAAGGTCGCCAACCCCAGGTCAGCGATGAAGAAGTAACGAAGTAGCTCAATGCGCAATTGAGCAAGAGAATGCCACCCAGCACGCGCAGCACATCTGTGAAGCTGAAGCCAGAGCTCTTCTTCTTGGGAGTGGTATTTGAGTTCGAGGCTTCTTTGGGCACGACGGTAGGGTCTGCCGCTTTGGCACGCTGTCGTACTTCTGCCATGTTCTGTGTGTTTGAAAAAGGGAGAAGGGATCGAGTAGAAAGAGGAGTAATTATTGGACTTGGTTGATCGACAGAGGGGAAGAGAGACAATTAAATGCCAAGGCCGAGTTGCTTTCGGGATGGCTTTGGCCTGATGACCATTCACTCGTCATCAAACGTCTATCTCCAAACTCTATTTTTGGCTTCCATGTGCATTGCCTGATTTCGACTCGCATTTTCAATTTCATACTCCGAGTATTTGAAATGACATGTGTCGACAAGGACAAAAACTTCCTGCCTCTTACTCGATCAACATCATCGAGGCCAACTTGTGACTTCCACGCCTTGAACAGCTGGGTATCTTTAGTTGTCTTTCTATACTGAATCCATTATGTAGAGTACAAGGCGTAGAAACAACCACAACGGCAAGGACAAAACCATTCCAGCTACCATAACAATACAAAACATCATAAGTAAGCACGACATCTTCTCCACTTGGACCTTGCAATCGCGACGTTGTCCATGTGACCGAATAGCTTTTTCTGGATACACTGCAGCATGGGTACACCACTGCTCCATCTTTACGTCGACGAACAAATCCTGTCGGGGTATCGTTTTGCCAAACTTTGGTATTCGTTCCCAGTGCCGCCACAGACGATGCCTCTTCTTATCTCCTCGTCTGTAGATTCGCAGTGATTTTGGCAATCTTCTCCAGAAGCGATGGGTGAAGAAACCAAGTTTTCTCTCGTAGACAAGGACAATGCGCAATTTGCAAAACTGATAGAACTCGCGTGTGATCTGCAGGCGAGTGCGAAGAAGTGCTGGCAGTCCTGTCTCGTAAATTTCGTATTCATCGTCAAGGACAAGGTTGTAAATGTTTAGACGCAACTCGAGTGGAAGAGAGAAGAGTCCTGTAGTTGTTGTTTCGTTTTGTCGCCCGGAAAGATGCACGAGCTCATAGCTCTGGTAGGCTGGCTGCTTGGGAGCCATCTCAATGCCAGACTCGATACTGCTCGTACGAGGCTTGTAGGTCGCGAAGAAGGCCTTGCACAATCTTTGGATTGCGAGATGGTATGAATGCTGGAGCCTTTGGGTCCAACTGTTTCGAAGAAGTCCTGGGTACTCTGGGAGCAAAAGCAGCTGCCTTTGGATCAAGAGGACTGCTTGATGGCATGCTTAAGTATGACTGCAATGCCTATGACTCTTGAAGAAACGCGACTGACAAAACATGCAGTACAAAAAGGCTTTGTGACGAAGAGATGAAATGAAATGTGCAGAGCAAAGAAAATCGTCGTAATTGTGTGTGAGGGGTTGTCTTCTGGATGCGTGAGTTTGATATGCTTTTGGCTTCAAGTGCACGATGTATGCCACTCAATTGCATAAGATCTTGCTCAATCCATGTGTTTATATCCACTATCACGCTTCAAACTTACTTTCGACCACATCCCCTCAGAGAGATCAGCTACGAGCTCAAGATGTGTTTGTCCAAGCTTCTCGTGTGCATTGCTCTGTCATACGAAGGTCATCTTGAGATGAACATCCTGGAAAATCACTGAAACCTGGCCTTCGACGGAAGTTTCCTTTGAAGATATCGTGCATTTTAGCACCTGGAATGGTGCCCTTCGCAGCCCAAAAAGGATTGTCTAACGAAGGGGCATCAAGCTTCAGACAAGTGCGATGAACGACAAGTTGCATGTCAATTCCAAGGCCTCTGACATGTCCAACGAGAGGCTCATTCGAGTGGCATGTCAATCGTTATGACCGACCGAAAGGACAAGAACGAGTGAGGTTGAAGACGACCTGCAGTCTCAGTGATCGGCAAGATACTTGCCGTTCGACGCATAAGCACTAACCAAAAAAGGCAGGAACTAACACCGCAGTCGCTCCTTCCACCAACTCGAGTCTCGCTTTACACGAAATCAATATTTTCTTGAGTCGATGTTCGTGTTGTCGTGATTTGTCAATCACGTTAAGATTGTTCCACCACCATGTCCAAGCATCGAGCCGCAACCACATCTTTAGAAAATGCATCTAGCAACGAACAATCATCTCGAGGCACACCATTCCACGATCTAACATGGAGAGTATCTTGGCATGCTGATCATTGAACACTCGCTTGGAAAGAGGGCCTTGGTCGAGGCGGTCTATCAATCAATTTTGACCGCCTGGAAGATCCTTCGCGTGCTCCCATCTGCAGCATGCCGCATCCTGGGTCGACGACGACCTATCGTTCCAGCATTTTGGTCCAAACATAGAACACGATGAGTAGTAAGCACACGTGGAATATCATGGCTAGGTAACTAGGCCAGCACGGACTGAGAAAAGGCCAAAGATGCATGTCGCAAGGAGGTCGGATCAAGTATAAAAGTATGGCCAGCCCCTTGATCTCATCTTATTGTTCGAGTATGGTAACAGCGTTTCCCATTATTTGAGATGAAGTCTGGATTGATCTTCGCAGTCGCTGCGGTGTTGGCCTGCTGCAATGCTAGTCCTGGCGACAAGCTGCCAACATCAGCATCGAGCGACATCCAAGTCGCTCAGGAACAACTGAAGATCCTGATATCTCATGCCAAATACATCGTCAAGTCAGCCAAAAAGCCATTCAGTTCGATATGCAAGCCCGGAAATGTCCAGGTTCGCAAGGAATGGGGCACTCTTTCTCCCAGGGAACGTATCGCCTATACCGATGCTGTCCGTTGTCTCCAGAAGAAGACTGCCAAGTCACCAGCTTCCTGGGCTCCTGGTGCAAAGTCGCGCTATGATGATTGGGTGGCTACTCATATCGATCAGACACTCCAAATTCACTATACAGGCACGTTTTTGGGTTGGCACCGCTTCTTCCTTTGGGAGTATGAACAAGCACTTCGCAATGAATGTGGATACCAAGGCACACAACCCTACTGGAACTGGGGTCTTTCTGCTGAGAGTGGCATGGAGAAAAGTCCTGTCTGGGACGGCAGCAAGACAAGTATGAGCGGCAACGGCGCCTATATCAACCAGACCGGCCTACAAGTTGTCCTCGGTGGAAATGGCCTCCCTGAGATTTTCTTCCCGACCGGCAGTGGAGGCGGCTGTATTGAATCAGGTCCCTTTGTCAACATGACTGTGAATCTTGGTCCGGCAGCTCTCACCATCCCTGGCAACATCACTTCCGTCAATCCTAATGGCCCTTTATCCTACAATCCTCGCTGTCTGAAACGCGACCTCACAGATGAACTCAACACCTGCTTCGGAAATTTCACCGCCATCGTTGGTAACATCCTCAGGCCCCAAAACGTCTACGATTTCCAGATGCAGATGCAAGGTATCCCTGGCAGCGGCAATATCGGCATTCACGGCGGTGGCCATTACTCCATGGGCGGCGATCCTGGTCGCGATGTGTTTACCTCACCAGGAGATCCGGCCTTCTACCTTCACCATGGCATGATAGATTTGGTGTGGACGGCATGGCAGATGTTGGATCCTGAGAACAGGATTTATGGCAAAGAAGCCATTGCTGGCACGAACACTTTTCTGAACCAACCACCTAGTGCGAATACAACTTTGGACACGGCGATCAGTATTGGCTGGGCTGGAAGGGGAGTGAATGTCACAATGAAAGATGTGATGAGTACAGTTGCTGGGCCGTTTTGTTATGTATACGCTTGAGTATCGGAGCTCTCATAGTAATAGCAATATAGGAATTTGGAGGTTGTCTTGTTTCAAGTCTTGCGACGCAATGAGCGAATATCGTTCGAGCCATCTTTCCACCTTCTACCACCACTCTCTAGGCAACAACCTCCGCAGCCCCATCCTCGCCCACACACCACAACAGCCCTCTCAATCTTCTTCTTCAGTACCCAGCCATAACAGCCAGCCATACCAATGAGAAAAAAAAAGAACATATTCTCTTCCAAAAATAATTCCAGAGGATCCATCCGCGGTAAAAAAAAAAAAGGCAGATCATACTCCTACTAACAAAAAGCGGCAAAAATAAACAAGCTTGAGGGTTTATTTTCTGCTGTATATAGGGCATGTTGAAGCTCTGGATTTGTATGTGTTGAACAAAGTCAACTAGCCTAGAGGAAAAGATCAAGGTTAGTTTGTTCGATGATAGGGTTGATGGGAGGAATATGGAAGGATGGGGTGGGAGAGATGGGGACTTAGCTCTGAAGAGCGTGAGATGGAAAGTCGGAAACAAGAAGCCTGTGATGTTTCGAGTCAGCGTGAATGATTTTGTTTCGAGGAGGATATGGGAACTTAGCTCTGAGAGAGAGGTATGCAGACAAGAGTACAGAGTCCGCTGTGCTGGCTAGTCAGTGTAGATGTGCTCATAGTAAGGGATGTGCGTATACTCAGCTGGCAACACTTGAACAGAGGGATGTAAGCGAAAAGAAGAGGGAGAGCACGAAGAGAGATCTGAAACGAATTTATAGGCAAGTCATACTGTGACTGGAGTGTGCTGATTATGTAAGGTAACTTGCTCAACTTGTGGGCGTGGGTAGCCTATAAGCTGCGTCGAAGCTAGACACGGATAGACGAATTATAGTCGGAGGGGGCTAGGATATTGTTCCTAAGCAGATGTGAGTTATGCTGTCTAGCTACACCTTCCTCAAATGCGAATAATAGCATGATCAAATGCAAGCTCCCGTCATCCATTTACCAAATATTGTGACTTGACTGAAAAAGAGATGCAATCTACTCATCTCCAGCCAATCTCTGTAGCCCAGTCCTGCCAGCCAACCTGGCTCCCAGACCGCCACCCTGGCCCAGATCGGCCTGACTTCTCAATTGCCCAACGAATTTACCCTTTTCGCTTCTCTTCCTATCATCTTCTTCTTTCTGCTTGCGGTCACGCTCTTCCAACTCGGCTAGACGCTTCCTGCGATCTGCTTCTAATTCTGTGGCGTTTGATTGCATAGCTGCTAGTTTGGCCATGCGTTCTGCTTGACGATTAGGAGAAGCAGAGCGTTCTTGCCTTTGTGGACGGTTGTCATCCCTGGAAGATCTCGGTGGACGGTCGTCTCTATCATTCCTAGAAGATCTGGGACCGCGGTTGCTGTAAGGCTCATAGCTTGGTGATGCACGACGTCTCGGCGAAGGAGATCTTCGCGATCGAACAGGAGAAGGCGAGCGTCGTCTACCATCTCTGTCTCTGTTCTTGCGAGAGGGAGAACGCGAGTCTGAGCGTCGCGGACTAGGGTATGATTTCCGTCTGCGTGAATCTGGTGAGCGTGAGATGCTGCGGCGATACGAGTCGTGTTTGCGAGAAGAACGTCTATCGTCATCACGTCTGTCATCGCGCCTATCATCTCTCCTTCTACGTTCGGGTGATCGTGAGCGGGAGTACGAGGGCGAACGATGGCGATGTGATCGGTGCCTGTGGGAGGAACGTCTCTCGTCATCGCTGTAGTCGTCGTGGCGTCTACGTTTGCTGCGGTGCTCATCGTCTCTGTGACGGTGCTTGCGATGGCTACGTCTTGAGTCGTCTTCGTCCTTGCCAGCAGCCTTGAGCAGGGCTCGACGCTTGGTGGGATCGTTCATCATGGCTTCCAAGGCGGCCTGCTCTTGTTGCTTGATGGCCAGCATAGGATCATTGCGCACCTTTGTCGCGGTATCTCTTTGGTTATTTGCAATTTGCAGAGCCGAGGGACCTACGGCGGCAGCTTTTTGCATGGCCTCAGTGGCATTTCTCTTGACAAGTCCGTCCAGTCTTCTCTTTCCGAGCAAATATGCTTCCATCTCTTCTGTGGTTCCCTTCTGGCCATCTGCAGGACCGCCGTACATCCAGTCTACTCTGTCGACACGCTTCTTGCCGCCAGCGGCCTCTTGCATCTGTTGAAGTTCTTGGATTTGGCGTTCTTCGGCGCGCTCCTTGAGGACCTGGTCGATCTTTTTGCGCTCATCGAGGGCTTTCTTCTCTTCTTCCCAGACGCGCTTCTGGTTGGACATGAGCACGGGGTGCCATGACTTCTTCAAGTTCAGATCGCCACCCATTTTGATGTTCGATTGTGCGCTGTAAAGCGCTACAACTTAAAGTGAAGGTGTTTGTTGTCGAACGTTGCGAGAGGAGATGCACGGTAGTTGTTCGATGTGGTCAGATAGACGTGCTGTTGCGCCGAGCAATTTTCATCAGATGAAGGTGGATGGGAAAGAAGGTTGCCTGGTGGCTTGCTGTCGCGTGAAAGTCACACTCCGCATTGAACGCCAAGACACTCTATACAACGTCCATCGCAACTTCTCTCAATACGACCCTCTGCCTTAGATTTGAACACAACTCAACTCTATGGAAGCAGCAACGCGACTTGCAGCCAAACCTCATACCCTGTTTTTGGCGACTCTATCGACTTGCTTAGCGACCTGTCCGGATGCACTTTCATGCAATCTCTCTTCATCTTTTTCAGCCCCCTGCTTATCAATAAGCGCTGGATACTAGTTTGATGCTCGGAGAACTCAGGTCGGATTGTATTCAACATTGCATTCCATTTCTGATCGGTGGTCGTAACTTCGGGACATTGCCTTGTAGGAGTAGCCCATCCAGTACTGAGAATGATTGAATCGAGGTGCTTCGATCACGCGACATTGTATCTTGTGTGACAGCGGCCATATCAATGGACATTTCAAGCAGATGAAATGGTTCATCGAGCCAAATACTCTTCACATCTCTGACAAACAGCACGTCTCCGATTCCAATCCTCAGTCAAGCGAGCCATCTTCCAAATCACAAACGTCTTCCTCGACGGCACAGTCTGACCGCTGAAAAGCTCGTCATCATGGGAGAGCCACTTTTACCGCCATGAAACCTCGTCAGATCATCACGTCTCAAACACATGTCCCTTGCATCGGACCAGGGACCCTCTCCGAAGGAGGATTTGCACTCAACAACACCTTGACCATGGCGTCTAGACCCTCGTCCGACTTTGGCCTTACTCATCTTTTGCTGTCTGGGACTACTGATTGTGCTTCGCTTGACTCATCTACCAAGATCTGACATGCGCGTATCGTTTTTGGTATCAGAGCACATGCCAATTGATAAGTTCTTGAGATAAGCTCAACCCACGACAAGGCCGGAGCGATCTGACCGTCTAGGCCCGTCTTTGCGACTGCTTTCTGCAACCAATGACAGCAGGCATATCCGGAAACAGATTCAGGGACCAGACTGATGACATCAACAAGTCTCCTTCCCCGCACTTCGATCGTGAAGTCCATATCCACAGGTCAGCCTTATCGTGGGGAAAAATGGACCATCACTTTCGGTGGCTTGCTAACGACCACCTCTCTTTCGAGAGCGGCAGAAAAGTAAACGGTCTTAGGAGTGATTGCCATTGGACCATGACGGATAGAGTTCAACACCATGACGACGAAACATATGTCGATGGCTTAACCAGTGCTACGATCTTCAGGAAGAATCACGAGAGCATTCAAACCCAGCGGAGTGGTTGAGCAAACAAAGGAAAGGCTGACGACGGACGCTGCACAAGCTCCGAGTCCGATGATATGACAAAGCTCCAGAGGTAAGCTCTCTGAGGTAGCTCTCAAGCTATATAATAGTGTTGCACCCCACCTGTGAGAGCTTAGTTCTTTACAACAAGCATATCTTCTCATCATACCATATTACCACACTACAACCAAACACATCCAAACCTCAGCCATCAATCATGTCTGCTCCTACCGATACCACTCCCACTGCTCAGACCTCCGCCGATGGTGAGCGTCGTCGCTCTTCCGGTGGCCTCTTCAACAACATCCTGGCTCAGAAGCGCAGCCCCGACAATGCTGCTTACTCTGCCCGTCGCACAAGCATTGAGGAGCAAGGCCCACCAAAGGGTGTTCTCGGCAAGATGTGGGACAGGTATGTACCTCGAATATACTCAAATCTTTGATCACTTAGCTAACATACAATACAGCGCTGTCAAGGGCGTCGGTCCAGAGCAGAAGTAAATCACCAGTCACACAACCACCGAGTCAGTTCGGCAATGATCGATCAATACACGAACGATTATGAGATCTGCATATCTTCACACCACACTGTTTCGAGCTTTCGAGTTCGCTGGCTCAGGTTCTCCGGGTTTACTCACTGGCGCTGAGGGGAGTTTGGACGTTGGAGCTTTTCATTGCATGTATTATATAACGACTTTATGACAATCATTTATCATCCACACAAGCTTCTCATACATCTTCTGTGCATCCTACGTATATCGCGACCTGCAATCGCAGAAACGCTTCAGCAAATTATGTTGCAAACACCATCAGGTGAATTCCGGTCAGCAGAGGCATCGCAATGCTTAAGCGTTCATGAAACGATACGAGGTTCATGCAACGCCTTGCTGCCATTGGTTTTCGCATCTGTACCATCTCGGCCGGGTTTCGACACAAGCTGAGCTAGTCAGACAGTTCTGCATTGCACTGACGCAAATGGAGAAGAGGATGGATTCTCTCTTGCTGAAGCTGTTTGGCTCGGTTGTGACAACAGGAGATAAAATATATCAACCTAATCAGCCAGAGAGCAAAAGTATCTTGAGCCAATCGCCTGGTGACTAGTCTCAAATGTCTGAACTTTTGCCAAAAGATAGATGTGGTAGTTAGAAACTCTGAGTTAGTCCTTTAAGGGGAATGAACAAGGTAAGAAATGGTCTTTGATGTCAGGGCCTACAAAATCGGCACACAAAGAAGCAAAGTCATGTAGAAGAGACTCGGTGGCGAAAAGCAAGTTTGAACGAGTCAGAAAGAAGAAAACGGTTTACTGTGAGGGACTCTTTGGGTGTGTGTGTGGCGGAAAGAAACATAGCAGACGAAAAAAAACATGCGAACAAGGACCTGTACGAAAGCCTGAGAGATGATCGTTGTACAAGAACGAACAAGACTTGGAATCGAGAAGAGGAAAGTCACATCGAATCCCTTCCTTCTCAATCCCTTTATCCCTCAGGCCTTCCAAGCCCCCAAAGACCATTCATATTATCCACGGTGATGGCACAGTGGTCAGAACGCCTTTGCGAATGAGTCTTGCGAATACAAGATATAGTGTAGCTATGCCTATTTCCGTAGTGGCGTCCACCACATTCTCGTTGGAGGAGATCGTATGTTCCGTTCCTACTCGCTGTATTTCAATTTGGTTCTTACTGGCATACTGGTCAATGGGACAAGAAAGGTATAACAATAGAAGGGGTATATGAAGTAACATTGAATGCTTTTCCTGTGCAACTACCTGGGCTGGTTGACTTGCACCTTCTTATCCTCACCGCAGCTGACAATACCCCAAGCCTCATCCCATTGCACACCAAACACCTTGATGCCTTCACCGCCTACAGGCTTCTTCTCGCCTTGACCATCACGCTCGAGAACAAAGATGCTTTCGCCAGTCATACCGCCTTCAGCGATACCGCCATTGCCTGCTTTGGCATTACGGACATCCCAGACACGAACACTACCGTCATGGCCACCAGAGGCAAAGACATAGCCGTTATCAGGCGAGGGTGCAAGTGAGACTACAGCATTGTTGTGGCCACGAAGCGTCATGGCAACAATCGAAGTAGCAGAAGCGCGAGGGTCGATGAGGGAGATGTGACGAGCAGTGGTACCTGCAGCAACCAGATTCAGTTGAGGCAGAGCGGCGACTGAGACCAGTGGGTGCGAGGTTGCGCGAGTGTCGACGCACGAGTGAGTGGCCAGATCCCAGGTCTTGAGTGTGTGGTCCCAGGAAGTGGAGTATGCGACTGTGGCATCGTCGGGTTTGAAAGTGACATCTGATACTGGTGCAGTGTGGCCGGCCAGGAGAGAAAGTGCGCCGCGCTGAGGGACAGTGACGCTGGTTTTCCTTCGCTTGTTTGAGGGGTTGGGGAGGAGATGTGCGGGTGCTGAAGGGTTGCTCTTGATATCGCTGCTGAAGATACCGACAGTGTGATCTTGCGAGGCGGTCAAGATACGCTGAGAGGGAGTGTGTACGGCCAGTCTGTCCACGGAAGCTGTGTGTCCCAGTAACTCAACCTTTGGTGTAATCTCGCTGTCGTTGTAGTTCCAGATTCTGACGCTGCGGTCCACGCTCGAAGACACCAAACGTGAGTGATCCAGGAACTTGACGCTCTTGACGGGTCCACTGTGTCCACCATCTCCACTTGTCGCCAGCACCTCTTTACTTTGATTCCACAATCTCAACAATCCATCGTAACTCGCCGACACCAAACGCTCGTTTCCAGCACCAGCAAAGTTCTTGCCTGCCCATTTTCCAGCCGCTGAAGTAGAGGAGAGGAGATCGATGCTGCTGACCCAGTCGTCGTGTTCGAAAGAGGCGACATGCGACGGCGGCACGAGAGCGCGTACATATTCGACATTCAAGGTTGTTTCGGCGGAGATACCGTTGGCGGTAAGGAACTCATCGATCGAGGTTCGGAGGAATTGGCCGTTGATCAGGAACTCAAAGGGGACGGGTTGTTCGGTCTCGAGCAGACGGTTGACAAGGGTTGAAAGCTGGTATCTACGGAGCTCTGTGACAATTGTCAGCTATGTGATATGTCCCAGGAAAGAGGCATCATGCTAGCGCAAATGCGCGACATCGGGGTACTGCTTACCAGTCGAGACGAGGATCGGACCAGTGTCCTCGGGCAACTCGATATCCGGACTCCTCGTACTGAGCTGAATTCTCACTTGCGACGTCGACATGTTGCTGGATATGTGTGTGGTATGTGTTTATTCGACTAGATCGCATCTCGAAAAAAGTTCATGCATGGGTACAGATTCTGCCGCTGTCAGGCTCACCGCCTTACCAATTTGTGCCGCTAGTGCAGAGGCTGGAAGCTTGCACAACCTCTACAACTTCAACCTCTCAAATTGCACGTCTGCCAGGTATAATGTATTGTGTATATGTATATATAGCTCATTGTCGAATCGGTGCGCATAGAGAAGTTACTTCGACCAATCGCATGGGCTACTCTTGTAAGCATGCCTTGTTACAGTTTCGATGCGACCAACGACACTTTTGGGATTACATGTGTTCGATTGGGCCATCAAGACGACACAAGTCCACATCTCTCATGGTAGCCTAATCTTCTCCGAATATGCCGTGCTAGGATTCGCGGACTTGTCTGCTTACAGCACTCGTGATTTTGATTCTCCCAAGTCCAGGATGTATTGACCAGGTGAAGACGAAAGTGCCAGAGGTGGACACGGAGATCCGCTTTACTCTCATCTGAGAACGTTCATTTGCTTAAGTACTTACGCTCAGATTGATGCCTGAGGCTGGTGGCAATCTATGATCAGTAGATTCAAAGCTTATCAAGAGCCGCATCTCGTGGACAACATGGTCATGAAGTTTTGGTTGAATATGCGGTCTAGGTAGAAACATGCAAGCATATCGAATTTTCCGGGCTCATAGTACAGATGACAAAGAAAAAAAGTGAAGATAGAAAACAGGGGGGTCCACCCTTGCGTTCTGATTTAGAACACAAGAATGCTGTACAGGACCGGAATTTTCTCCCTCAATGGGCAACCCTTGACTGCAAAACTGGTACTTGACGTTTCAATGTCATTCATCAGCTTTCCAGACAATCGCCTAGATTTTCCCTCTAATAAATAATTACCAGATTCCTATCAAAGAAATCGTCTATTTGAGGAATCCTTGGCCCTCGGTGTGGGTCTGAACACGAGGAGATGAGGGGTTGCGGACGGCCTTGGTGGTGGGAGGGTTGTACACGAGCTTTCTGGTCTTGACGACAGTCCACTTGTATCTGTAGCACAAAGTCAGTATTTGTTAAAAACCTCAATCCAGTATTCGACATGACTCACCTCTTGACCCAGACGGAAAGAGCGAAGAGAGTACCGGCGACGGCCATAACCTTCCAGCCCATCTTCTTGCGGTCGTCCATCTCGGGCTCGGCAGTCCAGTTCAAGAACTCGACAACATCCTTGGCCATCTGCGAGGTGGTGGCGGGGGTCTTGTCGTCGTACTCGACGAGACCATCGTAGAGGACACGGGCCATGGCGATACCGGTACCGGGGAAGTAAGGGTTGAAGTTGAGACCCTCCTGGACAACAGCACCAGCTGGGGGCTCCTCGGGGTAACCAGTCAGAAGAGAGAAGATGTAGTTGCAGCCACCGTGGCGGGCCTTGACCATGAGCGAAAGATCCGGGGGAAGAGCACCGTTGTTGGCAGCACGGGCAGCCTCGTCGTTCTTGTAGGGGCTGGGAAGGTAGTCGGAGAGCTTTCCGGGACGCTTCTCGATCTCACCCTCATCGTTGGGCTCGGTGTCGTACTCGTTCTCCTCGGCAAGGGCCTTGGCCTCATCGACGGTCATGAAGTTACCGACAAGGTTGCGGTAGGCAATGCGCTTGAGGGAGTGGCAGGAAGCGCAGACCTCTTGGTAGACTTGGAAACCTCTGCGAAGAGCCTGGTGGTCGAAGGTCTTGTAGAGCTTCTCGTGCTCCCAAGGGTACTTGGTGGGGTGAAGACTGTCGGGCCAATGGTCAGCGCTGGATGGTCGAGTGTGTATGTAGGCGATGTATGACATACCCCTCTTCGGCGGGAGTCATGGCGTGGGCCTCACGACCGAACTGGTAGTAGTACCATGCGGCGGAACCGACAGCGAAGACGGTGGCAGCCGAGGCAGTGGCGGTGGTTGCCCATTGGGAAGACTCGGCACCGGAGGAGGAAGAGGCAGCGCGCTGGAGAGATTGAGACGTCAGCTGGGCATGATTCAACGGGCGGGTTTGCGGTCGAGGGTGGTTGGAGGTATGGACGAGTGTCCGGGTGTTGGGCGAGGGCGTACCGTGGACTGGCGGGTTGCAGTGTTGCGAGCTGCGGCGGCAATGCGCGCGGATCGCAGGCTGGATCTGGCCAACATGGTCTGCGATTGACTGTGTCGGGGTCGAGAGGAGAGGGTAGATGGAGGTGCTTGTCGAACAACTGAGGTCGATGTCGCCCGCGAGGAACAGAGAAAGCCGAGTGCTTAGACCCAGCCTGGCGCTGATTGGCTGAGGCCTGCTCTCGCTGATTTCACCAGCGTGCCATTTGAATCGACCGACTGGCCTTGACTTCTGGCCACCTCGACTCTGATCGTGCTCCAAGAATTTGAGAGTTTGGTGACTTTGCACGTCACAGCGAGAGCCCGCAAGACTCATAGCCAATTTCGCCCTCACGAGCCTTTGCGCACCCCATTCCACCACCCCGAGTCCAACCGCGCATCCTCCGCAACCATGGCCTCGAACGGCGAATATCCCCAGGACGACTCACCGCCCGCCTCGCCCACCTTGAACCCTCAGCAAGACCAGTCCGAGTCGGAAGACGAGATTCCTGAGCAGAAGCCCAAGTCGGCCTTGAAGAAGTCTGCTCCTGTTCCCGCCGTCCAGAAGCCTTTCATTGCCGAGCAGCCCGACCCGTCGACCATCGATGTCAAGACTTTGAACCCTCTGTCGCCCGAAATTATCTCGCGCCAAGCTACTATCAACATTGGTACCATTGGTCATGTCGCTCACGGAAAGTCAACTGTCGTCAAGGCCATTTCTGGTGTCCAGACTGTCCGTTTCAAGAACGAGTTGGAGAGAAACATTACCATCAAGCTCGGTTACGCCAACGCAAAGGTCTACAAGTGTGACAACGAGGAGTGCCCTCGCCCCACCTGCTACAGAAGTTACAAGAGTGACAAGGAGGTCGACCCTCCATGTGAGAGAGAAGGATGCTCTGGTACATACCGTCTGCTCAGACATGTCTCGTGAGTCTCCACATACTGCGCTCCACATTAGCGCTATCTGACAACCTCCTAGCTTCGTCGACTGCCCTGGTCACGATATTCTCATGAGCACCATGTTGTCTGGCGCCGCCGTCATGGACGCCGCCCTTCTTCTCATTGCCGGAAACGAAACCTGCCCTCAACCCCAGACCTCTGAACATTTGGCCGCCATTGAGATCATGAAGCTGAACCACATCATCATTCTCCAAAACAAGGTCGATCTTATGCGCGAGGAGGCCGCCAGCCAACACCACGAGTCCATTTTGAAGTTCATCCGCGGTACCGTCGCCGACGGCAGCCCCATCATCCCTATCAGTGCCCAGCTGAAGTTCAACATTGACGCCATCAACGAGTACCTCGTCTCCAAGATCCCCGTTCCCCCAAGAGACTTCACCGCCGCCCCTCACATGATCGTTATCAGATCTTTCGATGTCAACAAGCCTGGTGCCGAGATCGAGGACCTGAAGGGTGGTGTTGCTGGTGGCAGTATCTTGACTGGTGTGTTGAAGCTTGGTGATGAGATTGAGATCAGACCCGGTATTGTCAGCAAGGATGAGCAGGGCAAGATTCAGTGCAAGCCCATCTTCTCCAGAGTTGTCTCGCTCTTTGCCGAGAACAACGACCTGAAGTTCGCCGTTCCTGGTGGTCTTATTGGTGTTGGTACTCGTGTCGACCCCACTCTCTGCCGTGCCGATCGTCTCGTCGGTTTCGTCCTTGGTCTCCGTGGCCAGCTCCCCGCCATCTACACTGAGATCGAGGTCAACTACTTCCTGCTCCGTCGTCTGCTTGGTGTCAAGACCGCCGACGGCAAGCAGGCCAAGGTTGCCAAGCTCGCAAAGAACGAAGTCCTCATGGTTAACATTGGTTCTACTGCCACTGGTGCCAAGGTCGTCGCCGTCAAGGCCGATGCCGCCAGACTGCAGCTCACCAGCCCTGCCTGTACCGAGATTGGCGAGAAGGTTGCTCTTTCTCGCAGAATCGAGAAGCACTGGCGTCTTATTGGATGGTAAGTCAAACTAATTCCATCTCACGAAACTCATACTAACTTTACATAGGGCTACCATCCTTGCCGGCTCCACCCTCGAGCCTACCATTGAGTGAACGACGACTGGTTGATACATCAACAACGACTTACACCGATACCCACGCAAGCAGGATCTTCGTTCCAGATCTTGTGGGGATGACACGTAGAGGATTTGACATGGAGAGGACGATCAAAAGTTGGATTTGCATGAACGCATCACGCTTTTCTATGTGTGTTAAGCGTGTATGTGCGGGATGCATGCTTGTCTGTGGGCATTAGATCAGGGGTGTTCTATGGCGCTGAGGACGAGAAGGGATGTGTTTTTCTTTTTCTTATCTTTCCATCCACGGATCTATCCTCACCCCTATTGCATGACACCGAAACAAAATACACAGTTTTATGACAGCACACCTATGGCTTTGCCTCTCTCCAAGGGAACTGATGATGTGAGTAGATACTATGTCTACTAGAACGGTCGAGCATGAACGACAATCATGTTCACGTAATATCTAAAGCCTGTCAGAGAATCTCCGTCCTCCAGAGTCGAACCCTCGACCTCTCTCTTATAAACAAAATTTTATGGGGGCTATGCCCCCCTTCTCCCGACTCCGAAGAGCAGGCGGTCTCCCACTACGCCAAACTCACGTTTGTGTCTTACAAGTGGGATGTGAGAAGGACAACTTCCAGGGTGTATATGGTTAGGTGAGTCAAGTCAGGCGCCTGCATGTGATCGTCTCACCCCATCACGAGATCGGGCTCCAAAGTTGATTGATCACTGCAGTGGTTGCAATCAAGTCGAGGGAGGCAACTTCAGGCCTACGTGTGTTGCTGTGCAAGTGGCACTTTCTCTACTGAGCCGCACCTCCTTCCTTCCTTCAAATCGCACCTTCTCTCTCATTCAGGCTGCACGTGCTCATATCATCCGAGCTGCACCTTCTCGTCTCCTACTTTCCTCGAACAACAAACCTTTTCTTTCATTGTTGAACAACAATCACAAATCCTACTCTTTATGAACGACGCTTTCGACACCTGATTTCATCGCCCTTGCATCCCCACAGGCTAGCACGCGGATCAGTGAGTTTGACTGCAGACAAGATCGTCTTTTTCGATGTTCTCTGACACAAACTAGCCATCTCGCGTGCCCGTCCAGATCACCAGCCTCTCGAAGGGAGTTTATCTCTTGCTTCACTTTACTCCGCCATTCTAAAAGCTTCCCATCACGCACAACACGCCGCACGAAGTCTGAAAGCGGTCTTGATCCTCGATTTACATCGTCTCCGATCTCTTCATCTCGCCAATTGCGCATGCAAAACACCAGATCTCATTCACCACCAATTGTCACCGCCCGCTGCAGTCGACAAAGACCACGAACATTTCGTCTCAGGATGTCTTCTCCACTTGAAAGTCTTCCCCCAGAGCTCTTTTATGAGATCTGCGAAGTCATCGACAAAAGCGGAGAATACAAGCGCCAGTATCATAAAACTTTTCTCAGTCTTAGTCTCACCAGCAAGACCTGTCGATCTTATGCCACACTATACATCTTTCGCAGACTCTTCTTCAAGGAGTATTCAGCCGCAAAACTTACAAAACACCTCACCGAATGTGTACAAACACTGGGCCGTCTGGGTGTTCTCCATCTTGTCCGCAGTGTGGACATCAGCTTCTGTCGTACTAACCGCTTCCCAAAGACCAGAAGCACGATGGTTGTCGAACTGCTCAAACAGTTCCCGAACATAATCCAGCTCTATGCCCAGCCTCGCAGAGTCCTGACTAAGAGCTTCATTGACGAGAAGAAAACCATCTTGGTCGATCGTGCTTTCAGGGCGGATAAAGAAGGTCGCTACCATTGGATGTACAGATGGTCGAATCACTAGATCTTTTGTCTCTGTCGACACAAATCGAAGAACATGAGGTAACACAAGATCACCCTCATGCCTAGTTCGTTCTTGCCAGCACGAAAAACACCATTGCTCAATCTGTTATAGTCAAAGCTCATCACCACTGCATGACTCGACACGGCTCGAATACACAAGCGGTAGGTATGCAGAGAGTGAAATGCTAAGAGCCGCTGCAGCATATGGCATCTCATACAAGGTAAATTGCTTTTTCGACCAGGAAGAAACATAACTGAAGTACTACATCGATACAAAGTTCTGCAACATTGCTCGAAAGAAGAAAACAAGGATGGCACATTGCTAGCTCAATCGATGGCTGCAAAAGAGACGGGCTATCCACAATGTAAAAACACACATACCATACAAGAACACAACATCAATGCTCTTGGTGTCTTCTAGCATTGTGACCATCCCATCCATGCATATAGCAATCTCATCTAGTGCAACAGTGTGAACAGAATGGTGCCCTCCTTATCCTACAAAACTGTACTCCATGTTCGATAAGACACTTTGCACCCACAATGACTGTCGTGGCAAAGAACTTCACAAGTCTGAGATTTGAAAGACATGCAGTCTCTGCAGCTATATCCTATGTAGCTGTGTGCTCTATATGTATAACCGGTGTGGTCAAATCTTGACATTGACATTCAATCTACCCATCGACGATAAGACATGTCTCTAACCACGAGGATCACCAAAACCACCCTATCATCATGTCATATAATAGCTTATAAACATACCCCCATGTCTAAGAATGTTTGTGGAGAGAAGAATATCGATATCTATAACTGTTCATCAAGAGACAAGGTCGTACCTTCAGTGTTGCTGAAAATTCCAAAGCGAAAACTAAGATGGAAGCAGCTCCACGCGACGAGTTCACAATCCTATATCTTGCACGGACGGTCAAGTTAGTACGGACTTCAAGGATCCTGCTCCGAAGTGTGATGACAAGGACAGTATTGGATTGGAATGCCAAGGTCGAACTCTTGGATCAAGCCAAAAGTGCTTAGATCTAGAATCCCAAGATCTGCTTGATTGTTTGAGCAAACACTATCAAACTCCATTTTCCATGCAAATGATCCCGTCTGCGTGAATCAACACACCCAAGATGTTGTTGCGTAAGATTTCAGACCAATAGTTCATCAATCTGCCGTTGCGAATTATCCCCCTTCTTGATCCATGCCGATCGCAAGTAACCGAGTATCCTAAAGTCTGCGACCAATGTTTCCAAAAGCAACAGCACTGACAAACAGCACACTAGCAATCCAAGTAGCCACGCCTACACTTTCGAGTGTAAAAGTACCCAGCACCAGATCTTGGCCTCTGATTGCATTTGCCGTTGCATTGGCCACATTTGAGAATGAGTGGATGTTTGAAGTGTGAGGCGATGGAATCAAGTCTGGGTTGATGGAAAGAAGAAGACCTGTGCCGGTGAGAGCGACGGTGGTAGCGAGGATGAAGCAGGGGCCTGTGCGGTCGAGGAGGTACCAGATGGCTGGGTTTGCGAGGGCGAGGGTGAGGCTGAGTTGGAGAGGTGATTGCCAGGGTAGACGGCGCTGTGTCTCCGGTTAGTGACTGATACAGAAGAAAGGGAAGAGAAATAGCCATCAAGGGAACTTACAATAGCAAACACAATGCCCACAGCAGCACCAATAAATCTGACAACCTCATTCCAACCAGGAGTCCAATTCTGGCTGCGAGTATGTGTGTCCTGAGCACTACGCAAGTTTCCAGAAGTCCTGTATTCCCTATCCGCCTCAGTCTCACCACTACCATCACTCATCCAAATCGAGTCGACCCAAGGCAAAGCCTGGCCCAAAGCAACACCACTGAAACACCAATAGGCAATATATGCCCACGACTCCGAAGGCATGCCTTCAACCTGCACAGGCACCAAAGTCTTTCTGTCATGCAGATGTGCAATCAACTGGCCGTAAGCAATGCCAGCAAGACCCAATACGACATTTTTGCCGACCATGGGCAGGAACCAGTTTTTCAAAGTCTTCTTCTTGGGCTTTTGTACACGCCGTGTCGAGGCCTCGAGCATACTGCCTCTTCTCTTCTTGCTTCTCATCATCAGAGCGTCATCGACATTGCCGTCGATATCAGCCATGTTCATGCCTTTGCTATCGATGGGGGTCTGGGCACCGGTGCCCCAGGGCGTCTCGTCGCGGTCGGTTGCATAGCCAGCCGGGGAGTAGATGCCGAACAGAGTGGAGGTAGTCAGATTGAGGAAAGAGCGAGTACGAGAGGGCGGAAGGCCTGACTCGTCGGCTCCGGGAGATTGGTTTTCGGGCGTGTCGCGGCCATCGGGGGAGTTGCCAGCCGTCGACGACATGGGGGTGAGGTCGAAAGGACGACGAGGACGGGGTCGCAAGATAGGAGGCGATTGATCGGCCATATCGACTGAGGAGGTGTGTCGTGTGCTTTTCCTCGAGTAAGGTGGTGGACGGGTTCTTGCAGATCTCACGTGTGCTGTTTTTCTAGATATTGTTCAGGGTCTGAGAAAATATCCAAGTCGTGTTGGTACGCGGGTGGCTGCGAGAGTAGAGAAAAGTGCAGTCAACTGTCGTCGGAGATGCAAGGGAAAGAGCGACAGTCAAGTACAAGAGCGAAGAGGAGGGAAGCAACCATCGAATGAGGAACTGTGGGCCGATGATGCTGCTCGCATTGCTCCAGCTTGTGCTTGTGCGCGAAGCGTTGGCATGTGAAAGCGATCACCCAATGGCCTGTGCCCCGCCGCGGATTGCCTGCAGCCATGACCCTCGCAACTCTGACCACATCCAGCCAGCATCTCATCAGGAATCATCAAATTTATGAACAATCCAAAACGAACTTGATACGCTTTAAACTAAGAGTACATGCAACAACGCCTCCATCACTGTCTTTTGTCGACGACTTGTTTGCAAGGATCCCAAGTCCGGTCATCCCGCAACATGTCTACAAGCACGCCCCTCATCCTCAACAATGCGCTGGGGCTCCAAGGACACGCCGCTGCCCTGCATATGCACCCCATCCATTGTTTCATCCCCGCTTCTATACTATCTCTCCCCAGTCACACTCATCTGAAGCCGCCGAATCCTGTGGGTTGGAATCCGGTGGGCTGGGGAATCACGCCGTTCGAGTAAGGTACTGGGCTCGGTGCACTTGCAACCGGTCCCTGGGTCAGCATCAGTCGTGATCCTCCAAGAATCGGTGTGTTGTCCTGCTCCGTCTTCTGAACCACCTCTTTTGACTTGCGCTCCTCGTTGTCCTTCTTGAGCTGCTCAATTGCCATAGCCTGTTGCGACATGTAGTTGATCATGAAGGGCATAGTGAAGTCGTTCAGGCCGTGACGCCATGACAGCTCCATAACAACGTGCAGGGGAATGAGATCATAGCATGCATAGAGCATACCCACGAAGCACTCGCGACTGCCAATGTCGACAAAGTAGCGGAGAAGCTCCTCGACAACCTCAGCCTTGCCTGACATGGCAGCAGTCTCGATAGCATCCTTGAAGAGCTTGTCTTGCTTCGAAAGTGCAATCGACTTGTCCCATCTCTTGGTCTTGCGGTAGATGTTGGCAGCAATCTGTCTGAAGAAGACCAGGTCATGCTTCTCAAGACGCTGAGCAAGAGCAACAGCCTCGTAGTTGTCGTAGTTCTCGACAGAGTCACGAAGAGTCTTGTAGTCCTCCTCCTCGATAAGCAAGTCGTTAATAGCATCGTTCACAGCGCGCTTATTTTGTGTTTGGACGTTGAGAAGGAAAGGCTTGATGAGAGGGATGTTGTCAGACTTCTCAAACATGCGCACAACGCGGTTGACGTCGATGCGAGGAGTCAAAGCCTGAAGCAGATCGGTAAGGAGCGAAGGTTGCTCCTGCAAATAGAAGTTGAGGGCCTTGTAGTAGATTTCCAAGTTGGCAACCTTGACGATAGTGTCCTTGAAAGAGTGGTGCTCCCAAGCATCGGCAGCACGCTCCATCATAGCAAGAGCAGCGTTATCGAATTCATCATAATGGACGTATAAGAAGACAAGCTCAGGCCACAGGTGAGCCTCCTCGCAAGCACGAATCATCTTAGGAATGTTGATACGTCCCCAGAAGATACGCAGGTGCTCCATGACACGCTCGGGGTGGTACTTGGAGAGGGCAATACCCAACTCAGTGAACATACCCATGTGAGCGCGCTCGAGACCAAGTCCGGCCTCCAATAGCGAGATGAGCTCGTCGAAGTATCCGTTGTACTCGTATTGCTTGATGAGGTCCTGGAGCTCTTCGGCGTGAACGATCAAATTGAGACCGCAAATCTGGGCAAGACGGAACTCCTTCTTGGCAACACAGGCCTCGTTGACTTGCTTCCAGACCTTGACGCTGTTGGCCTTGCGAGCACACTCAACAGCAGCTTGGTAGTCCTCGAGGTGAACCAGAGTAGTAGCGAGCTTGGCCCAGTTCGAGATGCTGGTGAAGAAGATCTTGGCAGCCTCGTGGTAGCCCTCCTCGTAAGCTTTGTCACCTGAAGCTTCAATGTCGGCGACGTTGGATGTGCGGAGGAAGTCCTCCAGTTCGCTGAGCTGGTTGGTACGGGCGAAGCAGAAGGCAAGAGCAGTGTCGATGGGGATTTCGCGCAGAGTCTTGCGTGCCATGCGCAGGAACTTGATAAGGTCCTCGTCCTTGCCGGCGTGAGTAGCGATCTCAATGACCTCGTTGTAGTTGGAGGGGTCTTGAGCGCGAATGTAAGACTCAACGGAGTCGCTGACACGGAGACCGTCGAGTTGGGCCTTAGCGACCTTGCTCCAGACCTCAGGAGTATCGACCTGGTCAGCGTACTCTTGCGCACGGTCAATAGAAACAACCTAAGAAGATAGATACGTTAGCATGCTTTGAAGTATGGTAATAGTGCATGACAATTCAAGCAGAGTCATCCCCAGGGAGGCTTCTCTGACGTGGATGATTGTCAAAATGCACGAATCTAAGCGAGCAAGGGGCTTTTTCCATTGAGAGCGCGAGCAATAATGGCTCTCAATGGGACCGACAATTGCCAGTTCGATTTCGTGCCTTCTGATGGTGACTTATCTCGCGACTGCGCTTCTCGGGATAGCAGGGGAGAGAGGGTAAGTGCACAGCAAGTACTAAGCGGGCAGTGAATAACAGGAACTGAAGGGGTAATACTTACGTGATCAACGAGAACATCAGTAGCAGCAGTGTGGTTACCATGCTTCTTGTAGATCTCGAATGCCTCCTCGTACATGCCAACCTCGATACACTGAGTGGCAATGTCTTCGGGGCTGTACTCAGAAAGGGTTTGAATGTAGTTGGCGACACGAGCACGGTCAGACTTGCAAGCAGTGAGCATAAGCAAGTTCTGGAGGTTGGCGTTGTCGCTGAAGGCGGAAGGCTCGAGGATGATCTTCTCGAGCAGCTCGATCAGCTCAGTGGGCATATCGGCGTCAATGAAGGCTTTGACGGCAATCGACACACGCTCAGGGTCTTGCGACTCGGGAACGGCGGTAGCAATGACCTGGTCAACAAGAGAACGACGGTGCATGTTGTTCGAGCTAAGGACGTAGTTCCAGATCTCGAGATCCTCACGCTCGAGCAAGTAACGAGCCTGGGCTCTGAACATGGCGTTGTCGTTGGTGATCTCGATGAGCTCGAGGTCGTTTTGACCCTTGCGGTAGGCAATGTATGCGAGGTTGGGATCACGCTTCTCGCAGTATTTACCAACGGTCAAAGTATCGTACATGTCGTTCTCCTTGAGGAACTTCTCAGGGTCGTTGTTGCTGTCGATGTAAATCTTAGCAAGAGCGTTGTAAACAGCCTGTTGCTGGTTGCCGGCCTGGAGAGTGGCCTCGAGGAAAGGTAGCAAGAGCTTCAGACGATTTCTCGACTCAACCTCTGAGACGAGCTCATCGATAGGGATGACAGTCGAGTCGACCGAGCTCAGGAGGTTCTTGATGATGTTCTCGTCACAGTCAACATCGAGCAGACCACCAATAACTCCAGGGGTTCTGCCAGGGTTGACACGCTGGACGTAGACCTCGATAGACTTGAAGTGCTGGTTCTTGTAGAGGTACAGAACAAGGTCGTGAACGAAGTTGAAACGATCGCAGACGATAATGAGGGGAAGTTGCTCGGTAAGGTTGGCCTCCTTGAGGAAGTTCTTTACCTTCTCACCATTATAATGGTTAGATTCTCTGCAAATGCGCTCAACCTCTTGAATTTGGCCCATGGTGGTAGCGGCCTCAATGTACTTGAAGGTGACCTCCTCATCCTCGCTCAGGTTGACGATACCGCCAAGGTAGTAGTAAAGACCTTCAGCAGTTCTGTACTTCTCAAGCAGAGCGATGATGCGGTGAGGGCCAAACAAGTCCGAGTACTTCTTCGAGATGTTGATGACAGCAGCGAGGTTTTGGCGGATGTTGACCTTCAGCATCTCATCCATACATTCCATAGACAGTTCGAGAGTGAGCTTGCCAAAGAAGTTGACCAGGAAATCTTCAGGAATCTTGTCGGACTGAACAATGACGCGCTTGATGGCTGCAGGGTCCTCGTAGTGTTCCAAAGCTCTTGAGTACAGACCAGCCTGCTCACAGAGGGTGGCAATGCGAGGGCGATCGTAGTGTGTGAACATTTCGTTACCGAGGATAGCATCAGCGACTTGAGGAGCGTTCATCAAGTTCATCTCAATCAAGCGAGTCTGGAGGGGACCGTCCTCTTCTCTGTTAGCCGAAAGAACGTCAAGACCAAACGCAGTAGCCTGCTGGATCATGCCCTGAGCCATAAAGACATCGAGGACACGGGATGTGTCGATAAGGTTGGCATCCTCCTTGGCCAGTGCAGTAGCAAATTCGGCACCCTTCTCAGGGTTGACTCTGACGATGTGCTGGAGAAGAGCGTTGAAGTCGGGTGTGTAGCCAGTCTCCTTGGAGTATGAGAGGATTTGGTCGAAGTTGCCTGACTCAGCCATTGCGGCGATAACCTTTTGGGGGCAACCAGCTTCCTTGTAGATTTGCATGGCCAAGTTCAGGTCGTGCAGACGGACGATATCACCCAGCTGCTCGGAGCAACCAAGCTTGCCCTCGCTCATCCACTTCTCAAGAAGGTGCTTGCGGTTCTGCTGCAGGACAGGTCTGGCCAGCTCGAGAGTTTCGTGCTGGTTGAGCTTGCCCTTGTCAAGCAGCATACCGAAGTATTGAAGAATGACGGAGAGTTGTCCAGGCTGGGCTTGCAAGGCTTTGAAGCGCTCGATGGTCTGAGGTGTGCGAAGGAAGCCATTGGGAGAGTTGGCAGCGGTCTTTGCGGCATCGGCGTATTGGCCAGAGGACAGGAGGTGTTCGAAACGCTGCTGGTAAAGCTGGTCAGCACCGGGGAGGCCACCGCGCGAGGCCAGCTTGTAGGCAAGCTCGGCGTTCTCGGGGCTCTGAAGGAGGTAAGGGATGACAGTGTTCTCGTCGAGGCTGACGGACAGAACCTGACCCTTGCGGTTGATTCCCACGATACCAGAAGACTCGCTGTCGGGGCATGTGGTAAAGACGGTCTCACTTGAGATGCGGTTCATGAAGATGACGGTACCAGTCTCCAAGTCGTAAAGGTGGATGAAACCGTACTTGGTCACCAAATAAATGACCTTGTACTTCTCCGAGACCTGCATGGAGACAGGGAAGTCGCTGGCGGCTTCTTGCGGGAAGTAGACGTCCACGGCTCTCTTGGGGAAGACAGGGTTGCCTTGCTGGTGGTCGATCTCCACAACGTGGAGCTTGGCGCCTGTAGCGGTACGGTTGCAGAAGGTGAAGACCTTTGTGTCTGCAGGTGCGCCCTCCAAGCGAATGGTACCGAAAGCAGCGGCGTGACCCTCGATTGCCTGACTGATACCACGGTCGCGAGAGTAGAGCTGCATATTTCCGACGACGCGACCGCCTGCTGACGAGATGGAGACAACAACCATCCACTTCTCGTCTTGGCTGACTCTGTAGTTGATGATCTGGGAGCCCAGGTTGGAGTTGCGGTCGAACATTTTTACGGGAGCAGTCTGGCTGGGGTCGAAAATGTCCCAGTGGTAGACGCTAGTCTCTGTGACCAAACCCAAGCTCTTATCGCTGTACCACTTCCAGAAGACGACGTCCTCGTTCATGGTGGCCGACTTGAGCTTGGCCTTTGCGCCCAGGTCGAAGATTTGCAGAGTGCGCTGCTGGGCACGCAGGGCGATAATGTCTTTTGACCAGTGCATGATGGCATTGTCGGCCTTGATAGGGCGACGCACGACGCTGTTGTTGTTCTTGAGGTTGACAATAACAACCTCGCCCGAGGCAGTGTCGCACACACAGACATAGTGATCTGATTCTAATGTCTGCAGCAGGCGTCAGCGATTGTCGAAGTAATGACTGCAGAGAGGGTCTTACACAAGAGTTGAAACCAAAAGATTTGGGCTAGAGGATCGAGGTCAGTGATGTTTGTAGTATAGGATTGCGACGGGTGAACGAACGTCAATGTTGAGCGCTGTGAGCTGTCGAACGTTGTCAGTGAAGGCCAATTGGAGCGAGGCAGGCTTCATACCTGTAGCAGCTCAGTGAACTTGATGGGTAGAGCAGCCATAATGGTATGTGTAGGCGGCTACCTCATCCGGCGGCGGGATCAGGAGCTCGTGTAGGAGGAACGTGGAGCCTTGGGGCAATGGCGGCCCTGCGAGTGAAAAGTCGTAGAAGCGTTCACTGTCAGATGCAAGGAAAGTCGTCAAGACGTCAAGCAAAAGCGGCGAGAGAGTGAAGCGGGAAGGTCGGGAGTGAATTAGGTAGAAGGTGGGTGTGGTGGATGTTGATTGCTGGGGACGACTTGAAGCATCAAGCTGGCGCTCTGGCTGGGCGCTGCTTGCTACGTATTGCGATCTCCCCAGAGTCTTGGCGTCTCGGGCAGCCAGGCGAGCACAACCATCTTTTTTTGTCGGTAGAGAACAATCACTGGGCACCCCTCCAACTCCGTCATCTCACCACTTTGTCCACCCCTCTCGTCGCAACAAAGACACCGCTCGCTCTCTAATAGACGCCTATTCTACTGTCGCATCTTCGCAACTTTTATACAACCGCAATCATGGCAAAGGACTCTTGGGGTACGTCGCATCCCCCCACTACGCCCGCGTGCCCACCAACGCTTGCACAACAATACTAACTCATAACACAGACGACGAGGAGTCTAGCGGCTCAGCCCCTGCCTCTCCTCAGATTGTCGCCCGCCGTGGCAAGTTCGACGACGAGGAGGAGGACGACGTGAGTGCGACCTCGAAACGTCTTGCTGCCCAACACTCACTGACACCCCGCACAGGTCCTTGATTCCTGGGATGCCGCCGAGGACTCGGAAGTTGAGAGAGAAAAGGCAAAGAAGGCCGCAGAGGCAAAGGCCAAGGCCGAAGAGGAGGCAAAGAAGAACCACAAGACCAAGAGTCAGAGAATAGAAGAGAGAAGGCAAGAGAACATGCGCAAGAGAATGGAAGGTCTTGACTTCGAGAGCGACGAGGAGGACGAGTCCGAGCGCAAGGCTAGACTGCGCAGAGAGCAGAAGGAGTCTGACCTTAAGCACGCCGAGGATCTTTTCGAGGGTATCGGCGTCCCTGCCAGCCGCAGCAACCCCAAGGCCATCACTGTCGCCGACGAGAAGCAGCCCGGCAACGCCATCGACCTCTCGGCCATGCCTCTGTTCAACCCCACCACCAAGGACCAGTTCGCCAAGCTCCGCGAGACTCTCGCTCCTCTCCTGGTGTCAAACGTTAAGAAGGCTCAATACACCCTTTTCATGCAGGAGTTTGTCAAGGACATTTGCAAGGAGCTCCCTAGCGACCAGATCAAGAAGGTTTCCAGCGGTCTGACCACTCTCTCCAACGAGAAGATGAGAGAGGAGAAGGAAGCAGCAAAGGGAGGCAAGAAGACCAAGGCCGCCAAGACCAAGACCACTCTTGCTGGTGCCAGAAACCTTGAGACCGACACTACCGCCTACGACGATGGTCTCGATGAGTAAGTCAATCTGATGCTGTGCAGATGTGTAATGACAAATTGCTGACTCTCGACAGTGACGATTTCATGTAAACGACGACCGAAGGATGAGCTGAAGCCAAGTTCGATTTCTAGCACACTGGATTTTGTTTGTGGATAATGGATAGAGAGTACAGGAAGCATTTGCACAAGGCGTAAGGCATTGAATGCATGCTCCAACAAGTTTTTGATATGGCAATGTGGGCGTTTTAGTTGACTGTTAGACAAAAAAGCTGCATCACTCTACCCATTATTTGGCTGATTAAGAGTGCCCTCCCGTTGCTAATGCTTTCTTGTCAAAACTTTGGGAGGTCGTCAAACCACTCTTATATGTTGAGTATTGTGCATTATAAGCTGCGCGTGTGACAAACTTTAGCAACGGAGTGAGGGCTAAAAGCCGAGTTGAAGTGTGGGGACGGCGCGAAACGCAGATCTCGGACCAAATTTATTTTATTCATCGATTTTTCGGTCGTCGACATTGACCAACACTTTCTGTGGTCGATTCTTCAGTATGATTTGAGTCGCATTCTCATCAAAGCGTCCATAAATACCACATCCCCTCGACATGGCGTCGCGACCCCAGGATCCTGTCGCCGCCGCGGCTAAAGTCATTCGCATTATTCACGGCAACCATGCCGCCCAAAGCAGATATTTGCATGCATTGAGAGTCACTCCTGGCGAGAGCCATCCAGAGACAAAGGCCATCCTGCAATGTATGGCACAGGAGGAATACCATGATGTCCTCACCGACCTCGAAACGTCTCAGAAGACTACTTTCTTCGACAAGGTAGCCAACATGAGCGAACCTTCTGAGAACCCTTCGAATCTGGACAAGGACACTACGAAGCTCTACTTCGACGCTCTAGGTCTTAAGGCTAAGGGCCTGGATTTCAAGGACGTTCGCGCAGAGGTCAAAAAGCGCCCGGCTGCTACTCCCTCAGCTCCCGCCAACTCAGCTGCTGCTCCCGCTCTTCCCTCTACCCCTGCCAATCCTAAACCCTATCGCGAGATGGACATTAAGGTCAAGGAATTGAACCTGAAGGACAAGCCCGCTCAGGAAGCCGTCAAGCCCATTCCTGCTGCTCAAAAGGCACCTGCCGCGCTGGCTCCTCAATCACAGAAAGAGAAGAAAGACAACAAGAACAACAAGGACAAAAAAGACAAGAAGAGAAAGAGAGAGGAGGATTCTCCGAAGGTCTCGAAAAAGCCGAAGACTGAGGCTGAGGTAGCAGTTGGGGGTTCCCAGAAGAGACAAAAGCGTCGAGAAAAGCAAAAGTTGCTGCGCGAGAAAGTTGCTGCAGGCGAGGTACCTTTGATTTCGAAACCGGCCGTCAAGGAGACAGGTGAAACTGAGAAGACTCCTGCAGCTGCACCCCCAAGCGTCAGCAAGGAACAACTTCCAGAGAACAAGGATGTGCAGCTGAACAACTCAGAGGCTGCTCCGTCGGAAAGTGCTGTGCAAGCCCACCCTAAAATTAAGAAGGTTAGGAGAAGTAGGCACAAGTCTGAGAAGCTGAAGTCGAAGCCCGTAGAAACCGAACAACCCATTCAACCATCTGCTGCGGAGCCTCAAACTATTTCTGAAACTGAGAAGACTGCGCCAACTGAAGGCGGCAAGAAGTCGCGGCGAGCACGCAAGGCGAAAGCTGCCGCTGCCGCTGCCGCTGCTGCCGCATCCTCTGTGACCAATCCAGCTCCTGTTGCTGCGCCAGTTTTAATCGAAGAGCCAGCACCTGCGGAGGAACCGGTTCCAAACGAAGATGCTGCATCATCATCATCCTCCTCCTCAGATGAAGACGAACAAGATGACGACGTACCGGCCATGGAAAGTACAATGTCAGATTTCATCAGACGCACTGCCCTACCAGTGTTGGGCAAGCCGACGATATCAGCAATCGCCGATCCATCTAGTGATAAGGAAAATGAGCAAGAGATGATCTCTCCGGATGACGAAGATATGGAAGCAATCGTGCCCGAAACTATCATTGGTAAACCTGAGGAAACGTCTAAGGAAGAGGTGAACGATGGACTTCCAGTCCATGATCCGATTCAAAGGGAGTCATCCTCGGAGGTGATACATGAATCTCCTTCAACCAGAGAGACCAGCGTCTCTTCGGACGAAGAAGCACCAAGCCCTCCCTATCAGCTAGACCAAAAGAAGAGCAGTCCGGTTGTCAGCAAGACAGATTTCCCGAAACCAGTATCCTCGAGCTTCACGTCTGCTCCCTCGCAACCTGCTCTTTCGAAGCCCAGGATCCTCAACTCTTTCAGCAAACCACAATCGTCCTTTACTTCGACAAAATTTGGTTCCGTGCCCTCAAGCAACAACAAAAAGTCTGTCAATGACTCCTTTGCCGAGTTTGCTGCCTTCGCTGCTGGCAAGAAATTAGGCTATGACAGTAGCGACGACGATGATGACAGCAGCAGTAGCAGCAGTAGCGACAGCGATGACGAAAAGCCAGCTCCTGTGCAAGCTCGCAAGCTAAGTTCTGTGCGCCGGCAGCCTTCTCCTGCGCCTCCAATCAGCCCAGTAGCTGAGCCTGAGCCTTCTGCTATGGAAATCGACACCGAAGTTGACGCTACACAAGAACAAACAAACACTGACGCCTTGCCGATCGATGTCGTCATGACTGACGACCAGCAGAACATCAGTCCGGCAATTGATCACAATGACATTAACCCTTCTATCCAAGAACAGGAAGCAGAGCAAGTTGACGAAGAGGTCAAAGACGAGAGCTCGGGAGGTTTCCAGTCATTTCACGAGAGCACTGTGCCAGATGGTGCTCCCTCTGCACAAAGCCCTCTCCCGGACATCCCAAGCCCTGAGGATTTGATGGAGTTTGGTGGATATCAGCCATTGACCACAGAGACAACTGAACCAATCGCATCAGCATCTGCTGAGGACCAAGAACAAACTAGTGAGCCAGCCACTCGTGAAACTCACGAGAATCCCAAACTCACAGAGCCTGTCGATAGTACTGGCCTAGAAGTGGATGCTCAAATCGACGACAAGGTATTGAATGACCTGCCAGGAGCCGATGAGCAGACAAGTGTTTCTTCAGAGAACGAGCAAGTTCCAGAAGCTGCAAGAGAATCAAGCGAACCAGGTAACAAAGACGTTGAGATCCAGGATACCATTCAGCCAACTACCTCGAGAACTGAACCTGAAGAGCCTGCCGAAGACAAGCCGGTGCCGGAGACTCAGGAGCTTGACGTTCCTGAAACTCAAGAGGAAGATACTGCATATCTTGATCAACCGTCTGATCAGGAATCAGAATCAGAAGAGCCCGCCGAAGCCTTTTCACAATCTATGAAAGACTTCCTCGCAGCTTGGGAAGAAGAAACCGACAACTTTGAAAATAGAATCGCGGAACTTCGACGCTTGCTTGTGGAAGACGGCGACGGCAGTGCAGAAGACAACAAAGACATATTGGAGAAGTTGATGAACGAAGTCGATCGTGAGGAAAAAGTCTACAAGTCAAAAACCACCGCTGCACGTAACGCCTTGACCGGATTGGAGCGGCTTGCTCGAATCAAGATTCTAGAGGTACTTGATCGTGCAGATGCAAGTTTCGAGCAGCGATTGTTGATGGTAAAATCGAACTTGAGGGAGGAGCACAATTCTGAGTCTGCAAGGAGCCAGCTCTCGCCTGACGCAGATAATCAAGACGTCGAGATGAAGGATGAGCCTGCCAACGAAGCAGAGGTTGGTGCTGAAAACGATGACCAAGAAGTCAGATCCTCAAAGTCAAACTCGCCTGCTCCTTCGTCACTAGGCTGGGCACCAAGTGAAGACGAAGGTCTAACGGAAAGTGCGAAGAAGGAACAGAAGGTCAAAACACGCAAACCTCGCAACTCGACAGGCACCACTTCCGAGCACTTTACGCCGTCCCCAGACGCGAAGAGAAAGCGCGTGCCAGCCGGAACATCTGCTGTTGCCTTCCCCAAGCTGTCGGCACCTCGCTTCGGCTTGATTCAGGAGAGACTCGCAAACGACCCATTCCGTCTACTAGTTGCTGTCACCTTCCTCAACAAGACCCATGGTAAGGCAGCAAGACCAATCTTTGAGCAAGTAATGGAGACATATCCTACGCCGGCTGATTTGGCTGCGGCCAATGTCAGCGAGCTCAGCGAGATGATTCACAGTCTAGGCTTCCAGAACCAGCGTGCGAGAAAATTAATCAAGATCGCCGAGACTTGGGTTGGACAACCTCCACAGAAGGGAAAGCTCTTCCGCACCATGGACTATCCCAACAAAGGCAACGGCCGCCACCTTAAGCCCAAAGAAACTGTCGACGAAGATGTCGAAGATTGCATTCAAGCCGGCGCTTTGGAAATTGCTCACATCTATGGACTTGGACCCTACGCTTGGGATTCTTGGAGAATCTTCTGCCGTGACAAGTTCCGTGGTGTGGCTGAAGGCTACAATGGTGAAGGTGTTCCTGGTTACAAGCCTTCGTCGCAGGCCAAGGAAGACTCGGTCTTCGAACCAGAGTGGAAGCGTGTGGTGCCGTTAGATAAGGAGCTCCGAGCATGTTTGCGTTGGATGTGGTTACGTGAAGGCTGGGAGTGGGATCCTCTGACCGGCAACAAGAAGAAGGCAGCTCCTACCCTCATGCGCGAAGCATCGGATGGTGTAGCCACTTGGGACGAGCCTGTGGCTCTCAACCCACACGACGAGGACACAACGACCATCAAGGAAGAGCTCGCAGGACCCAAAGGTCCTGACGCGTTGGTCCCCGGAGTCAAGGCCGAGGAGGCCGAACCAGCACCCAAGCGACGCACCAGAAGAGGTAGAAACTCAGCTGGTGCTATTGCAAAGCGTGCAGCTACTACTCCCCCTCCTGCTGCACCCAAGGAAGCTGCCACCCCAGCTGTACCTGCCAGCACCAAACGCCTTAACGCAGACCCCGAGATCATGACTTCGCGTTTGAGACCTAGAGCCGGTCGTGCAGATGCGATCGCTTCTGCCCCTGTACCTGCTACGCCGAGCCGTCGTCGCGCTGCACGCAGGTAGAAGCTTGTTGGACCCTTGTTGCGGCAAGTTTCTGTTGCATAGGTCTTTGTGCTGGCCTACACATTGCATTGATAGCATCTCTGGCGTTGTTTCATCCAAAGCATCCTGTAGCGAAATCAAAATTCATTGATCAACATTTCTCCGTTAACTATCGTCCCTTACAAGAGTTCAAAATCACGCTCGAATTGTTCAAGCCTTGATGGATCCACCTCTTTATCACAGCATAGGTTCGAAGGTCGATCGACATCCCTCAATGCTACAATCGAAACATAACAAGCCATATTGAGCAGCGAAAAGGACAGAAAATACAAAACGTACAGCAGCAGGTGGCCACCCACCGTAGCACTAATCTGCCGTGCAACTGCTTATGTATGGCAGAGCGGACGGGATGCCCAGTTCACACACTTACCTGTTTAGGAAATTGTGGTTAAAATGGTGCGGTTCATGGTACTCCAAATTCTCAGTGGTATACATTGCCCGGGTGGTGGAACACAGAATGTTTCAGCCTGCTGTGTCCCGTCAACCAGCATATATATATATACACACTTGGTGATCATATATTTGTTTGCAAGCCGCTCTCGGATCTCTTCCTACGATTGGCCATTCGGCCGACTCTTTTCGCTGTGACAGTGAGTTGTGGCGCGTTCAGTCATAAATGCACATCGAATGTACTGCATGTCATGCACACATCTCTGAGCAATTATAGATAAATTCTTTTTTCCAACATTGTAAGCGGAGGTCACACATAGATCCCACAAAAACAACTCAAAGTCGTCCAGAAAATACTGGAAGGTGTACCACGTAAGTAAAAAGTTTAGAACACGTGCCATGGCTGCTCAATATCGTCGTCGTTGGTTTTTTATACTGCTGAGGGTACGACCCTGTCTCAATCCACAGTATCAGCTCAAAAATTGCGTTGTCTTGCAGAACAGACGACACTATTTGGTGATGGCATGGATTGATGACAATCTATCAGAAGCATACGCATCAATAACTTTATGTAAATTCATTGCTCGTATAGACATATGCATTGCTGCCTGTCGTTGTGTTTGGCTACCAACCCCACGGCTTGTGGCTGCGGCGAGGCTTCAGCAGTGACCTTGCGGCGCCAGCAGAATTTTGACAGAAGCTGAGAGTGATGTCTGTGTGCGTCGTACGACCAGAAACAAGAGTGTGTCCGTGTATTTCTGCAGATGTGTTCATGCTGGAGTCAAGAAGTCAGCCAAACTGCGGCTCTTGCGATTCTTGGCTGAGTGGTTCTTTCCCAGAAACTGATGACTTCATGACGTGGGCTTTAGTGGATTACAACATCCTCAACGCGTCCTTCTGCGACGTATCGTGAGATCATGGCGTGTGTTTGGTGATTTGCTAGGATAAATATTCTTTGTTACAATTTGCTTTGTACCATTTTCTGGTCTCGTGCTCTTCTATTCGCTCAATCTACTACTGATTACTCTGCGCTGGTGACACGAAACAGACATGGCTGCCACGTACTTTACGTGTACTCTAGGGCAGGCGCAATCCTTGGGCCTCACCAACTCCAACTTCAAGAATATCAACCACTTCATCGATTCTCAAGCAGAAGCCATACCATCTCAACATGCTGTCGGATTTGCCATACCATCCAACTCGGACTCCCGATGGAAGAGCAAGACTTGGACCTTTTTGGACCTGCAAACTGGCTCCAAGAAGGTTGCAGCTGTGCTACAAAAGATGCATGGAGAACTTCTGACCAAGTCGGAAACAGTCGCATTGATTTGCCCAAGCACACCGGAGTTTCTGTTTACGTGGCTTGCTCTCATGCGACTGGGACATCCTGTGCTTCTCATCGCACCGCAGTGTCAGCCAGCAGCCATCGCTCATCTATGCAAAACATGTCAGACTACTGTCCTATTCCACGACGAGACTTACTCTACCCAGTCTCAAGAGGCTGAAGCGGTCGCCCGCGACGATGGCGGAGAGCTCCATGCTATTGAGTTGCTATATTCCAAGGATCATTCTTTATCGGATATCATGGCACAGGATATATCGGATGACCTAAGCTTCCCCAACGTCAAGGAGACAGACGTTGCCTATCTCCATCATACCTCTGGAACCTCTTCTGGTGTACCCAAGCCAATCCCGCAAACGCATCGCGCAGGTGCTGGTGTTCTTCCTTGCTTCCCTAATGGAAAGCAGTGTGCAATGTTCACAACCACACCACTCTACCATGGAGGTGTAGCAGACGCTTTCAGAGCATGGACAAGTGGCGCGCTTATTTGGCTGTTTCCTGGAAAGGGCATACCAATCACCGCAGCAAACGTTATCAAGTGCCTGAGTGCGGCGAAGGAGAGTGCAGAGCAGGGTCTTCCTCCTGTCAAGTACTTCACTTCTGTACCGTATGTACTTCAGATGATGGAGGCAGATGGACAAGGCTTCAAATATCTTCAAAACATGGATATCGTCGGTGTAGGTGGTGCTGCTTTGCCAGCAGAAGTAGGAGACCGCATGGTTGGCAAAGGAATCAATCTTATCTCAAGATTTGGTAGTGCAGAGTGTGGTTTCCTCATGTCATCTCACCGTGACTATTCAAAAGACAAGGAATGGCAGTACTTGCGCAGCAACGAAGGAGCCGAGTTCCTTACGTTCGAAAAGAACGAGGATGGTCTAGCTGAACTGGTGATCAAGCCAGGTTGGCCACACATGGTATGATCTGCTCTCAAAATCTGGGACTGAACATCGACTGACATGCTGCGTCCAGGCTAAGAAGACCCGTGATGATGGATCCTTTGCCACGGCCGATCTCTTTGCACCACATGACAACATTGCAAATGCCTGGAGATACCACTCGCGAGCCGACTCTCAACTCACGCTGATCACCGGCAAGAAGTTCGACCCAGCTCCACTTGAAGGTGCCATTGCCACTGCGGATCTTCTAGACGACGTCCTGATATTCGGAAACGCACAACCGTTCCCTGGTGCCTTGCTGTTCCGCTCAGAAACGGCTCGAGATATTCCCGACCACGACCTCGTAGAGAAGATCTGGCCAGCCATAGAGAAACTCAACTCGGAAAGTCAGGATCATGCTCGTATTCCCAAGAAGATGCTGGTTGCCATGGCAGTACTTGATCAGCCGCTAGAGAAGAGCAGTAAAGGTACCCTCCAGCGAAGTGTGGTGGAGGCCCGCTTCGCACAAAACATCGACGAGGCGTATACCAACATGGGTTCTTTCAACGTCAGTGACGTGCCTGACGAGAAGGTTCTCGATGTCATCATCGAGATGATAGAATCTATCGTCCCGAAGAAGGCTAAACTGGAAGATAACACAGACCTGTTCTCTTATGGCGTTGACTCGGTCGCCGGTATGCAGATTAGATATGGCCTTCGACAACTGCTACCACAATCGACTAAACAGTTGCCACTCAACGTGGTAGAGGATTGTGGAACGGTCAAGCGATTGGCAGAGTATGTCGTCAAGCAGCGTCATGGTGAAGAGCTTGTCGACGACGAGGATGAACACAAGCTCATGCTTCAACTCGTCGACCAGTATTCCAACTTTGATAACAGAAGCCCATCGTCGTCCACAAACGGGCAGGGTCAGTGTGAAAACGACAAAGGAGATGTTATCGTCCTGACCGGTGCAACGGGGGCTTTAGGGGCTCATCTCCTGAACTCCTACCGTCAACTCGATTCTGTCAAAAAGGTCTACTGCCTCGTCCGAGGAGCTGAATTGCAAGCCTCAATTGAACGAGTTGACAAGGCTCTCAAACAGCGCGGCCTTGATGGACTCCAAAGCGGTGACGCAAAGGTTGAAGTCCTTCAAACGTCACTAGGAGATGGTCACCTGGGCCTCTCCAGTGGAGATTACGAAAGGATTGCACATGAGGTTACAATTGTTATGCACGTGGCATGGAGTGTCAATTTCCGCATGCGTTTACGCAGCTTTGCAAAGGACAACATTGCGAGTAAGTCATGCCCCCAATCCTCCCCATGCACGAGTGTGTGACCAGCCCGTTTGAAGCTCTCACCGCTGTATCAGAAGACCTGGTCAGAGGGTGCATAGAATACTATTTTTGCAATCTATGCACCCAGAAACCAGGTTTTCTATATTGCAATTAGATGAATTTGCTGCAGGGCTGCATCACCACAAAGATAGCAAAACAGACCAGATGCTGACCGCAGTTTCCAATGCAGGTGTGACAAATCTCATCAATCTTGCATTGAGGTCCGGGAGATCTGAGCCTGCCAGATTTGCATACTGCTCGAGCGTAGCCAGTGTCATGGCGTACAGCAAAGGCACTTCAATCCCTGAAAGAATTATCGACGATCCAGAAGCAGCCAGTCCCCTGGGTTATTCGCGCAGCAAGTGGGTCGCCGAACAAATATGCAGCAGAGCGAACGAGCGCTCGCTGCTTCAGGGTCGCGTTGCCATATTCAGAGTCGGCCAACTTTCAGGGGACACCCAACACGGCATCTGGAATAGCAGCGAGGCCTGGCCGATGATGCTGAGCAGTGTCAAAGTATCTCGCGCACTACCGAACCTCGATAAGGAAACCTTGGACTGGCTGCCGGTGGACCTCGCTGCCACGGCCTTGATGCAAGGAATAGCAAGCGTGGACGGGAGCGGAGACGGGGCGCAT